TATTTTCTCACAAATGTTTTCAATGAGCAGATTTTTGGTTTCATATTTGAACAGAAAACCCCTAAACTGAACAGTGTCTTTTTGGAATGACATCACAGCAACAGCACCCCCAGTTGTTGAGAAAAGCATGACAATTTTAAAATAATGTTTAAAAAGTGCACTTTTGAATGAAATCAACCAAAAAGGGATGTCAAATATTGTCGTTTATTTAAGTGGAGTAGAATATTGCACAAAACGAATTTCATGGACATTTTAGTGAAACCCATTGCTGCCAATTTAACAGATTAATGGAACTTGGTAAACACAAAGCTGAAGGTTTCAGTCCATGGTCCAAACACAGTGATTGCACTGGTAGCGAGATACTACAGTCTGAATTGCACACGGTTTGATTCAAGGTGGGATCAAAAGTCTGCAGGAATTCGTCCGGATGCCACAGCAGCTGCTGGGAGTGTACAAACCTCCTCAGCCCTGCAGCATCCTCCCAGCTAATGTCACATGTCAGCACCTCGGTCATCATCTCTGTGTGCTATGACAACACCTTGGTACATCGTTGTAGCTGCTCAGCGAGTGAATTCTACCTCTTCGGCCTCTTCGAAGACACCAACCTGTGCACCATTCACGCCAAGAGGGTCACCATCCGGCAGGAGTTTCTGCTGGAGTAATTCTGAGTGTCTCCTCTGATACCTCACGTGCTCTTCTTCTAGTTTCCTTTGGAAGTTGCATTTCTCCTCTTGCCTCCGTTCTCTGTCTTGGGCATCCTCTCTGATGTGACTGCTACATGATGGATGAGGCCCCTGGTATCACTGCTGCTGTTAGTGTCTCTGCTCTGCTGCTCTTCTGGTCACCCAGTCATCAAATGACCCCGGATTCAGCCCAGTGTAACCTGATTAAATCACATCATAAACAAATTTTAATGGAACAAATACACTTGATAGTGACTTAGAATCTTGCAATTTGGATTTTTGGCCCCTCCTTCCATAAAATCTGGATTCTGGATCCACCAGTGATGCCTCATTGAACATTTATTAACAAGCCAAGCAAGTTCAAAACCAAAATGAATAAATACAATCTCTATTCTTTTTCAGTAGTGTATCTCGGGGCCACTTACAGAGGAAGGAATTTATTTGGGGAAGGCCTCATTTTTGGAGCATGGGGGGCAGCACAACACAATGGTTTTGGTCATAGTTCTTTAGAAGGGATGGCACAAGGGGTCAGGACAGGCATGGAGTGTTGAGGGTGGGGGCTTGTTTCTCCCCCACATCCCTACCTGGAAAAATGTTGCAACCTGATGCCACTTCCACGTATGTGGAAGTGGCTGTCGCCCCCCCCCCCCCCACGGCTACGCCACTGATCAGGGGTGTGAGTGACCACTGATAAAAATAGCTGAAAACAGCTGAAAAAGGTGTTAAAAAACTGAACTTCGGAAATCTCATGTATACTTCTTAGTCCGAGTAACTTGGACCCAACTTATCGCCTTTTTTAACATTTGGACATGGTCTGGCGATAGTAAGGTCCAAGCTAATACCGAGACCTAGACAACACAGTCCCAAAAACCAACATTTTCCAACAAAAAACATCAGATTTCACCTTCAAAACGGCCTCCAAATTACTAGATATGTCACCTGAGGTACAAGTAGACATAGATGATTAAGATGGTTGTACTTAAGTTTACTTACGATCCGGAAAAAAGTGAAATTTTCCGATCAATTCTGAAGACCCCCTCTGCCTAGGTTGTCGTTGTTGTGCTCACGTTCAAAACTGCATGATAATGGCGTCTGACCTCGACCTCATGCAAATGTCGTGACAGCGCGCTTGCGCATAATGCAACGGCAGATTCCCCTGCGCCGCGCCGACGACTGTTTCCTGATGTAGAGTGCTGTGTAAGTTCGCGGTACGCCTAGGAGTCAGGCGCTAGCCAGGCGCATGGCTGGCGCTCTACATCAGGAAACAGTTGGCGCGGCGCAGGGGAATCTGCCGTGCATGCAGTGCATTATGCGCAAGCGCGCCGTCACGACATTTGCATGAGGTCGAGGTCAGACGCTATTATCATGCAGTTTTGAACGTGAGCACAACAACAACAACCTAGGCAGAGGGGGTCTTCAGAATTGAACGGAAAATTTCACTTTTTTCCGGATCGTAAGTAAACTTAAGTACAACCATCTTAATCATCTATGTCTACTTGTACCTCAGGTGACATATCTAGTACTTTGGAGGCCGTTTTGAAGGTGAAATCTGATGTTTTTTGTTGGAAAATGTTGGTTTTTGGGACTGTGTTGTCTAGGTCTCGGTATTAGCTTGGACCTTACTATCGCCAGACCATGTCCAAATGTTAAAAAAGGCGATAAGTTGGGTCCAAGTTACTCGGACTATATACTTCTGTACAATTTCTGAAATCCAAAACAAAAAAAGGTGAAATCAGCTTTAAAGCTGAAATTTCACACCCCTGCATCATTTTTTGACCTGCATGACCTTCAATGAGATGATTATATGAAGAAAAATGTGGCGTCAGGTTGCAACCTTTTTTTCGTTTAGCCTACCTGTGTCACATTTTTGTTTTCATCAAAAGGCATTAGATTAATTAAGCATGGAGCTATAAAAAGGAAAGCACCCTGTCTAAAAATACTGCTTTTTTTCACTTGATCGTTATGATGCGCCTTTCAATTGTCCCCCCCCCCCCCCGCATTACTTAGCAATCAGCAATTAGCATTAGCAAACATGGCAAAACGACATCAACAATTCACAGATAAAACTGATCAGAAACAGACGAAATTTACGCGATTGTTAAGAACGTCTTACTCTTATAGCAATCATTTCCAACTAAATGCTTCCATAGAATTGAGTATTTATTTGGGAAATAATCTTGTTTTACTCACAATTTTTGACGTACGGTTCACGTTCGATAAATAGCGCCCTCTATTGACACAGATTATAGCGCCCTCTATTGATCTAAGTTTTTCTAATAACGCCGACCAAAGGGCTCAATAGAGGGCGCTGTTAATTTGAACAGTAGAGGGCGCTAAATATTGGATCCGTAAAGCACAAATAAAACGTGATAAAGGGGCAAGGGCGGATCCAGAACACAATTTTGGGGGGGCCAAAAAAAAATTTGGTCCCCCCCCAAAAAAGTGGTCTCAAAAATTACGGCGTGGGGTTCGGGGCCCGTGAGGGCCCCGAAAATTTTTTGGATTCTAGATGCTCTGTGGTGCGATCTGAGGCAATTTCTGACCACTTTAACCAATTTTTTTTGAGGAAAAGATGGTGGTGTACTCATTGCCTGCCTTTATTGCGATGTCACATTAAAAAAAAAAAAAAATTGGTTTCGTTTTGGGGGGGGGGGCCATGGCCCCCTTTGGCCCCCCCCCCCTGGATCCGCCCTTGTAAAGGGGTATTGAAAATCACTTTTATTTGTGAATTTTGAATAGAAAGAGAAGAAGAAGGGTCGGCGGGGAAGAGAATATCGGAGCGGGATGGGAGTGAAAAAGATTGAAAGGGTTCTTAGCAATAAAAGAAAATTAAAAATGCCTTTACTAAAGAGAATAATTTAAAGTTTAAAATTCAGTTTATGAAATGTGACCTCCGACTCCAGATTTTGTCCCAAGAGGAGGCTGCCCCGGCCCATGTCAGTCACCATTTCGTGTTGAAACAGCCAGAATGCATCAACGGCGTCTTCTGCTGACTTGTATCTCGGCGACGAAGGCACAACTTAATTGTTCGTATCACTGAGTTCTCCATTCAGGCTTTAGTTGTATTTTGGGTGAGTTTCAACATCACTTTGAAAATTCATGAAGGGTACAGAAAAATAAGGTTCTCTGCCGATGCATAACTGAGCCCAATTTGTGCATCCCAGTTTTAAGATAACAATGATATACTTTGTATGATAGGAATTATTTTGCAATTAGGAAACTCACAATCATCCACCGGTGCACCCCCCAGGGGCGTGGTTTGAGGATTTGGGCATAATGTGGTAAAGATAATTTGCTTAAGAAGTGCAAAAGGGAACAAAAACTGAATCGATCGATCAAATTAAAAATAATTACACTTGGCCATTGATTTTCTTTTGTTTTTTTTATTTCGAAACAATTAAGCATGACTAATTAAGCAACTAATCTGGCGGATTGCAGTGAAAGCGTTTTTTAGTTTAATCATCAAGTAAGACTTGAAATCTCTTTGCAAGGCGATAATTTAGTGAGAGTTTGCCGTGACAGCATGTGGCAGAATGAGAAGATGCAATGTGTGGTTCTGAAAAGAACCGGTCGGTTGTGAAACTCGATGTTCCGATCAGTCAGTGCTCTGATATCGTATCGTCTTCAGAAGATATTCTGCCACATGGTCTGGAATCACCGCAAACTCTTACTATTTTATTTCGTTGTCTTCTACTCAAAATACAGCCATGTTTGGATTGACTCTCAGGATTAAGGTATCATTTCTTATAGCGCTCATCCCACGCAACAATATTCCCTTGACCTAGCCACCTAGCTTAGCAATCGTTATTCCCGTGGTTTATGCTTTTCTTGTACTTTTTCTGTTGTTTTTCTCTCTATTCTTTCGATCAGATTTGATTTGCATTAAATTGTTTATAAATTGTCTAGTCTGAAGACCATTTTGTATACAGTGATTTTATTTCCGTTATTTGTTTTGCTTCAACATTAATTTCTAGTTCCTTGCATCATTGACATTTTGATTCGTCTTTCATTTCTGGATGAATCCGCCTGGATTTTCAGCGATTTTCACGGCGGACTAATCATCAAGATTACGGTCTAATCAGGATGATCCTCCACCAAACACTTCTGAACGAGAAGTACACTCATCCATCAGTCGGCGGGGGCTGCTTTAAGAATGGATTACCCCCATCAAACAACCCACTATATAGTTCGCATACAAAGAACTCATCGCAGCGAATCGATCTTTTCAGAACTATCGACAATTCATGTCACCTTGACGACAGTGGTGGGATTGCGCAGGCGCGAAACTGTCCGGGGGACAGGGGGACAAATCGAGGCGCCTGGTGCTGAATAGAGGGTCATTGATCGGGGTACGGTGAAAGCACGAAGAAAGAGCGGAGAGAGAGTGCACTCAAATGAAATCTAGTCAGTCTGCCTACAGACGAGTCTGAGTAGACACATGAACAAACATTCAATCTTGTTGTTAGTCGGTTATGAGTTTGTTTACAAATACACAAATCTGTTGCCAGTTATTACACGAGGAATGTTTATTCTTTCGATTCAGATAAATATTTAATATCACCGAAGCTTGGAAGCTAAAGTGCCAGCATAATTATGTGGATGGACTGCACGCACATATGATGTAGTGGTGACCTTCCACCGATTCTCTAAACGGAACTAAATGGTAAGAAACAATTTAGTCATTCCATAGCATCATGATTATAGAGACTACGTTGTTATAATATTCGCGCTATGTGTTGTACACGTGTATGTAAACGTAGTCGAGTCAGCAGAAAACGTAGTTCTTTGAAAAGTGATATGAAGTGCTGGAATGTAGAGGCCATACTCATCACATTGGACGATGTTCTTAACTTCCGAAGTAAGATAACTGCACATGAAAACAACAAGCAAATTGACCATGACATCGAAGACTATATTATGCTTGACTCTTCTCACATTTCGTGATTGTTTCTTTAAAAAAAAATGTATATTCCATCCCCCCTGTCAGCTCGTAGATAACTTTGCAATTTCTGGTTAAATTTACCAGTCGGCAGATCATAACAATGTGCTGCTCGTACTTACAACAATGAAACACAAACAGTTTTGAAACCACAGTAAGAACAACGTATTTAGCTTTATTTTACCAAAATTGGCTGTTTGCTGATGTAAGCAAATGACACGAACGCTGAGTTCACGAGTTAGTCGGGGTCTTCCTAACATGAGTAGATTCACTTTAAAAGTTTAATAATCTATGCCAACAAACTCCATGATTAATGAATAATGAAGCCGTGTTTTATCTCGTTGTGATGGGGTCCGTTGTCCCCCGTCTTCTCATCGATTGTGCCCAGTATGTTCCCATCTACTTCCCGCATGATAAAACACACTTTACAACTTGTATCTAAGATTGTTAGCAATCCCTCGCTTTTATTTCATTGTCAGATAGGCGCTTGTATGCAATGTTCATCGATCTTCTTTGAAGTTCTTTGAATGCTCAGCAGACCTTCTGAAACACACTTCAATTTTTGATGATACAGTCTGTTGGTTCCTCTTTTCACAGACATTTTTCTGAATAGTGTACGACCTCGATTGGTTATTGGGTGGTTTGTTTGTGTGTGTATTGTTTGCTTTATTGATTTCTGTAATGATTTATGCAGTAATAACTCCGCTGTCTATCCAGTTACAACTTTCGGCCATTTTCATACATTCTAACCATTTTCTTTTGTGTCCTTTTCCCGTAACTCGATCAGCTTCATTTTCTTTACGAAAAGAAGTAAAATCTCATCAATCAATTATCATTTTATTTGTCCGGACGAATTTTGTGCTAAACAGGGGAACATTGTAGTGCAACTTGCGACAAGTTAATTCAACGTTTCACGTCCGTGAATCGCCAACCGTTTTATTTTAACCTTCCGTCCTTTCATTTATTTAAAAAAAATCAAAGACACATACATTTTTTGAACCTTAAAATTTGATCCGGTTGTATTACCATGTTCCCAAGTTGCTTTACATTAATTTGTCTTCAATAGTGAAAAGGCTTCTTTATTTGTCTCCGAACTCACCCCTCCTAAAAGAACTTCTGGTGTACGCCGAACAAAATTAATTTATTGTGATAAGTACCCTGTTTTCCGCATGATCTACTGAAATGGTCACCTATAGAAAACCTTTGGGTTTCGGGTCTAAGTCAACAAACAGTATCCGTCTGTAGGTTTTGGGCGCATTCATCTTTTCTTCGCTGAAATTGGCGCCTCAAGGTGTTCTGTTCTGCTTCTTTGAAATCTGTTCTTCCAATATCCTTGTAAGATGGTGTGAGTGCTTCTTGCATCGGAAGGAGAGATCATTCTATTTACACAGAGATTCTCTTGCGCGATTTCCAAGATATGTACGAACGTGGCCGGTATATCCACAGACGAAGGCTGGGTTCGGTGGCTGTTTTGTGTTGTGATTTAGACGGGTTGCGTTCACGTTGGCCATTTTAATGCCCATGGTATTTCATCCTGATTTGGATGGTGGCCATGATTGTACTATACATGTACATGTAGGACATTGCAGAGTCTTATAGGCTTGAAGTAAATCAGTGTACGAGTACATGTATTGCGTTGTTTTTTTTAATTTTTCTCTCTCAAAATCTAACCCTCAAGTTCAAAATATTTCCTTACACGCAATAACTCAAATTCTTCGCCGCCGCACGCCACCCACAGATCAAATGTTAAAACTCGCTATTATGTGACGCATCCGGTTGCCATGACAACAGAAACGCTACCCCACTAAGCAGCGAGTTTACACAAGTGTCTCTCTTGATTATTATTGGCCATTTGTTGAACTCTGTGACCTTCAGGTGACATTGACCTCAGATGATGTCACCCTAACCCTTCCATGGCCGGGTGTTTATTGTTGTTGGTCTAAAGGCACAATGCGGGTTGGTTTATTGGGAAAACATTGGGCATATTGCACCCAACAGAGAAAATGATGGGGCTTTATGTGATAGCATTTATCCCAACTTTGTAACGTTTTAAAACCTGTCATATGAAAAAGGTTACTCCTACACACCACGAGTACTGACACTTGAGTTCACAGACACTGACACGTTTCAGCAAGAGAGATATTTCGCTGTGTATTCTAGCCACCATTATGGGCACTCCAGACAGTCATAGAGTGCTTCGTTTTCACTTGTCTAAACTCTCGTCATATTTCTGTTCGCACGATCCATAGTCCAACAATTTTCCGTTGATTCACACAGAAGCGAAAGAACCAAAGAGTAAATCCTCAGAAACCCCCACGGTATTCCATTTGGTGGTCTGCACACAATGAGCCTACTTGAAGGTTCCTATGACAGCCATGGCACGGCAGTGTGTTCCTATTGTAACCAATATTTACCCTTGCCTGATTGTTGTATCGAGTCCACTGGGACAATGATAAATCATAATGACCTCCTACTCAACAATTCCTTCTGTCAAAATCTGAACTTCAAGGTTTGAATCTGCTGAAGCATTTAATTATACATTTTGTAATTTCATTCATCGGTCAGTGGCGTTCATTGTTTGGTGAAACCGCTGCAGGATCAGGACTCCAAACGGACTCGGTAGTACTTTTTTTTATAAAGCAGAGTTCAGTTTGATATTTCAGTTGAAATCTTTCCCAAAATATTCAGTTGGACGAATGCTAGTGGAAGTCAAACCTAAACCGTAAAGGTTGTCTTCTTTCTCATCTTAACATTCAAAATGAGTAATTTCACAACGGGAGTTAGGGGCCGTAGCTATGCCTGTATAACTACCGTGGCCTACGTGTTATTTCTTGGAGGGTGCCGCTGTTTCTTGCTATTTTTGCTGCACCCACAGTTGATCGCATTTTGGTAACATTGATTTCCTTTTTACATTGCAGATAAACTACAGATTGTAATGCAAGATCACGGAGATCGGGTTTGAACGACACACCAAGAACAAAACTCATTTGTCGGGAAGTTTGTGGACTCTGTATCGCCTCCTCCATGCCGTCTGTGTGAAGCCACGCCCATCACATCGCACCCAAGATGACAACATCCAAGAAACCATCTAGTGCGCCTGCGCGGATCTCGGCCAAGGATGATATCTGGAAGGACATCCACGACTGGGCCAAGCCTAGTGGGTCACGTGGGGAGGAGGGGGAGGGGCATGAAGGCGAGGGGACGGCTATGATTGGCTCCCAACTCAAGGATAACGTGACTGAGCAACGAATGCTGGAAGGAAGGCTCATGGATCTGTCTAAGGAGAGATACAAGTTTATCGTTCAGGTGGCGTGGCAAAGAAAGGCCTTCGTAGATCGACAGAAGGCCAAGACAGGAGTGATGAAAGACTTATTGAATGGGATCGACACGTCCCAAGTAGCCAGCGGTAAAGGGACGAACTATAACGCCCGTATGCATGTACGACATGATACCTACAAAAACCTCGCGCTTAAAACTTACGCTGAGGGACACAAAAGTAACTACTCAACATCGCCTCAGACTCAGAAGGCGGAGTATTCCGAAGACGGTTTACTGGAGATGAAACCAATCTTCCCTAATCCTACTCATCCCATATTCAAGACAGAAATCCCTTCATCATCAGGCAGTCAACGGTTCAACCAAGCACGACACATGATGCTGGACCGACGGAAAGCTGGCGGTGTTAGCTTCCCGTCCCTCGATGCAAACACCGGTGGCGGAGGAAGTCGTGTGCCGGTCCGTGGTACGCGAAGCCATGGATTGATTACGCAACGTCAAAGTATGCCGGCCACTTTCCTCCGCAGAGATGTTCACAAGATGACTGCGCAACTAGGAGACTTACGAGAGACCAAATCAGCGAGTTGTATACCCAAGTATCTTAAATACAGAGCCGTGTATGACGGTCGGTTTAACCGACTAGAGAAGGTGCTGTGTAAGCCATACACGGGAGCTGAGATGGATAGTATGAGGAGTCTATTGAGGACCTTACCCCCTGCTCCCTCGACCTCCCCAGCACCTGCTGGCGAAACATAAATCAGGGAGGGGTGCTTAAACACATGGAGTGAAGGGTGCTTAAACACATGGAATGAAGCAGGGTATTTGTTTTCAGGAATTAATGGAATAGCTATCAACAAATACATGTAATGACATGCAGTTAACATACATATAATTGCCGAATTTATTAGGTCTCTTCAGAGGGAAATTACATCACATCAGCTTTTAATATTAAAATAGACACTGAAATATGGTAGCTCTATTGGACCCTAACAGTCCTGAATCTTTTACTTTTTAATTGTATGTTAGTCTTGGACACCTTGCAGTGGTCAGCTTAGACGCAGTAATATTGCATACTGCGAACGAAGCAACATAATAATTATTACACATTCAATATCGTGCATCACTCTCAATTACTTTGATTTTTTTAAATAGATTTTTAAATACCACAGTGAGAAACTAGGAAAGCGGAAAGAAAAGTACGTTTGCTACATAATTTTATTTTAATATATGCTAATTTGTTTGCCAATGTATGTAAATACGACACTGACTGCATGAACGACGCACTTTATGGTTGTCAACAACACTATTATCTATATATTATGATTAACGTTATTCATTTCAATGCGATGAATTTGAATATGGGTTAAAATCCCCCTAATTCAAGTTAATAAAATATAATTAGACATTTAAACATTGATCATTACAAATCACGTGTTCTTAAGGCCAAAAAAAAATTCTCCGGTTTCTGGTATGGAGCTTGCCCAAAAAGTGGTGCGGCGACGCGGCTTTTTTTTTTTTTACCTGATTTTTTTGCTTTAAATGTCGGCTGATGACTGCAAATGGTGCCCGACTAAACTTAGTGCAAATACATGTATATGGGAGTTCAGAGAGGCCACATAAAGCTTATTCTCGACCATAACCCAATCTAAAAACACGTTAAAATTGTGCAGCAGCAGGATTCCAGTCAAACCAGTGAGTTTGGCGGTTTTGAGACATCATCTTTCATTGAAAAAAAAAACTTTTTCATTTTGCCGACGCGCATGGCTACTGCGACGCGCGCGCATACCAGAAACCGGAGACTTTTTTTTTTTTTTAACCCTAACCATTAATGCGGTACAGTATTACATTGCACTCTACAGGCGGTTAAATATCCTCACCATGACAACAAGACGCTGATGTTTCAACGTGACGTATTTTGCACTGACGGTCATGGTTAATATATACAGCTTGATGGGGTGATTCTAATATTTAATTTACCAAGGTTAAACATCGTGAACACATTCTGTCTGCATCCATTATGGCTACGTTAATTATGCCAGTTTAGAAATATGAAGAGTTTCATTCCAAAACGTGACATATCCATTTGAAAAAGATGACGATTTTGCACGGTTATGGAACTTTACAGAATAAAACAAGTATAATACCTGTTTCTAAACTTCAGTTTTCGCTTTATTGTATTCTGAAGTTGTATTTAAGTATAATAACAAATTGCTTTTGGGTAGCCAAGAGAACAGGAGTCTAAAAGGGAACAAAATGGCGTACATTGTATATCGCGTTTTGGAAATAAGGTCTTCATATCGACGTCGTATCTGGCTGCGTCACCATCTGTCTCAAGAATGGTTTGATCGATTCAAAGGATTCACATCAAACCCAATACACGTAGAAATACCCTGAAGCCATTGATGTTCCCGACACGGAAACAGCTAGAGGTTTAAACTCATGAAGTACAAACCTGAAACCGATGTCGGGTATAGGGTCATAGTTTGTTAAACACCCGAAAGCCTAGTTGCACGGTGTGAGGATTGTCCACTCAGCATACTCGTCGGAGTACAGTTCAATCTTCCTGATGTCATGAGGGCCGGGTGAATGAGCGAAGCTGATCATAGGGTCGTCACTTCCATCTCTTCCCACCTGTAACTCGCTGGTAGAGCTTGATATCCAGAAGCGACCATTAGCCCATTCGATTCCTGTCCCAACATTGTCATCACCCCATGGATCGTAGCGGCGGTAAATGGCCGATGAAAAACGCCTGAGTTCTGTCATGAACGACGAGAGAAAGTGGGAAAGTGATTGACAGAGACGACTTCATGATAGGCAGAGAACAAAAATGAAAATCAGCCATGAAAATACATGTACATGAAAATGCTTTTCCTTTTGCAATATTATTGATTCATACTCTGTTATTTTCTTTGCTAGAGTGGCATTTTGTCTGGTGTCGAACTGAACTGTAAATTTAGTTTCAAAGTAACAAGACAAAAACGATACTCAGATATCGGTGAATATATTTTCAAAGCAAACAAATATAAAACGTCCGAAAAAATAAAGAATTGTTCTTCTAAGAATGAGCAAAAGTCTAAATCTGGCTTAAAACGCCTTGACGAAACTTTTTGAAGACGTTGAAGTATTTGAGCCTGAAAAAGTTTTTCATTTCCAACTTACCTAGTGAGAACAGGTGTTTGTTACCGGCATCGTAGAGGTCCACGCGAATGTTACCGGCACTCTGTAAGGTAAATTCCATTCGCTCAAGAGATGATGAGAACTGGCCCTGTTCAGGGTACGAGGTGGCAGATGAATCAGTCGTGATAACAGCACACGCTGATTGGATACTTTCAGTAGTCATGTGATCTTGACTTTCTGACTGATGGTCATCCATCTTGGGGCATCGATCCTGTCCCCTTGGCATGGCTGATTTCAACCACAGACGTTTGTCGAATTCCTCCCCAGGAGCCGGCGGCGACACGGGACCGAAGTGAAGTGTCTTCATCTTGCTCCTAGCGCTACCACAGATAGCTACGGGGTAGAGAAGAATCGTTCCCGTCATAATAACGAACTGACCTTTCACTCGTACAATCAAAAAGTGCTGGTAGGCCTAAAGGCAATTGATTTTGATTTCAAAATAACACATGCAATCTAGTTTGAAAATCAAAACCGAATTTTATCAGCAATTTCAAAAATGCCTTATCAAAGGTAAAATGTGTTTTGAAAAACATTATGCACAAAAGCACAACTTACAAAACGCGTTATATTTCATAGTATGAAGAGAAAACACTCTATAAGAAGCATCTCCGAGATCAGTAACTAAACTTCTAACGATCAAGGCACCGAATACGAACACTGCGTCTTTTCCTGACAGTTGAAATTAAGAGTGGTAAAGGCACACATTTTTTTTTTAAAGATTATGTAAGGAACAAAAGACATTGCCCATTAGGGAGAGAATGATATTAAGTTTACTAATCTATACATACCATACATAATCGCAAACGTCAGGCAAGTCCAGCACAATCCCATGATTACTTTTTTAGGTGGTGCTGAGCCGCGGGTGTACGTCTTGATAATCTTCTGTACAGAAATTCACTTTCCCCAACATGCAGCGGACCACAAGTAATAGTTTGGCGCCTCTACTCCTAACGACATCCCTCCGTAACTATGGATACGCGGTTTACCGACGGCACAGGTATTGTCTGGTGTTAATGAGGAACTCGGTCGTGGTACATCCTCTTCCAGCTACAGTAGTTCGAAATTAGTTACTGTTGCGGAAACAGCGTCGTTTGGGATTTAATTAAGAGTAAACAGTTCACGAGTATCTTGATCATTGTTTCGATTTTCTCTCAGCGAGGTTTTTATAACTAGTTTAAATACTATCTGGCACCTTCCACCTAGATATCCTCGCCCAATTAACTTCGCAATACGCAAGCAACGTGGGGCGCTGACACAATACGCATTATTAATTTAAACGTGTGCGCACGTTCAGGAAGACGTGTTTAATAATAGACAGGCATGCATGCAACAGTGATGTTGTCTTCAGGGCTGTGTACAATATTAATAGCATCGATTATGCAGAAAACAAGCCGTGGATGTATAGACCATTATCATGTTGCAGCCATTTGATTGTTTTCCCATTCCAATCAATGTAGCCAAAGCGAGGCTGGAAGGAAAAATAGTCTGGTTCATTTTTTTGCACAAAAACATACCATTCAGTGCTGGATACAGGGAACATGACTGAAATGGTCGCAGCATGATAAAGGTCTATAGTTTTCATCTTGGCACCAAGAGGTAAAACAGTCTGCGAAGCCCACCCCCAACGGTGACATCGATCTATAATTTAAATTTGGAAAGACCAAGCACCAATCACAATCTGTCCATGTTCCTACTGGAACGCATACCACAACAGCGCCATCATGCGTTGACTAAATAGGCCTACCATGATACCGCCTCACAATATTAATTGAAGTATCACAGGCCACGCCGTTTAGTATTTTCAACGACTGATTCATGTTACAGATGAAGACTGTAAGGATTGCAGAGCAGTATACTGCCATAGACCCGAGTGATAATTACGCATACTTCCAAAAACTATTTATAATTTTCTCCAAGGTGTTTGAGACACTCATCAGATTAAAACCTATTTCATCTTTTTTCATTTTCTGTTCAATTTTTGGACGAAATTTCGTCCAAAGATGATCACCCCTAAAAGTAGTCCTGAAGCCCATCGCCATTTTGAAAAAGGACGTCCACGCTCCATTTCAAAGTCATAGCGCTTAAGTTTATCCGAATTTCACAGAAATACGAGCTCGCAGTGCCCTGCACGGCTTCCTGACCCTTAATTTTCACAAACCATCAAGTTCTTGGGCCTCAAAATGTTCAAATAATTATACCGGAACATTTGAGGGCATGCAAATCGTGATTTAGTCTATGTGATAGGCCCTGGCTCTGGCGAAGCCCACCATGAGACTTGGCTATAGGCTCCGTGGATTACGGGTAATACTAATCGTGATCGGGCCAGCGTGGGCAAGTTTGGGCTGCACCCAGAGATAGAGAGTAGGTCTAAATTCCGAAACAAATGACTGAAGGCGCAATTCACGTTACTCTATTCTCATGTTCACAAAGCGTAGAATTTTTTGATCTTTTAAAAAGTTATTAGATCGATGGAATAAAGTTGGAGCACATTCAAATGTTAACGTTCGTTTAATTATTTTAAGGTATAAATTCTTTTTAAATGTAATCAGGGAAAACAACTAAAACCTTACCAAGACTAAATAAGGCCTTGTCAAAATGACGATCCAAAATGTTTGGGTTTTGTTTCTGCGTTTCCTGAGCAAGATGTTGTTATACTTTTCTTGTGTATTATTTTCCGACACGTACCATTACCATATTCTTTGTGGATTTGCATATTATAAGTTGAATCTTTGTTTGTTTCCTTCAAGGACTCAGCTAAGAGATAAGTACCCTCACCACCTTGACAGTATCAAGATGCCATCTACATGTATAATGCTTCACTGCCATTTTTTTCTTTTTTTTTAGAATTATGACCGAATGGTCGAAAAAATATGTGCCTTTCAGACACACTCAGGCATCATGTTGCTATCGATCCACGACGAAATAAAAAAAGGAACGCATTGTCATGTTTCTCACACTGGCACAGCCATTTTCCCATTAAAACGCCATAAGAGAACAATAACGCATTCGTGAAATGACTGTTAGACACTTCCTGATAATTGGCGAATGAGTTCGTGGCGAGTTGTCAAGGAAACGGTACAATGACACATGTGCAAATACACAGTGAAGGCCTAATAATCGTGAATAAATTGAGTGACAATAATTTATGGCGGTAATTGGCTTGAAATTCGATGTACATGATGATGGTGTCTCAATTTACCAATACAGCTTCTAGGCAATAGGGATCACCTTGCAAACTAATATATTACGACCTTTGGTTGCTGCAAAGTCAGCATGTCAGATGGATCAAACGTGCGCCTCAAAGCAAATGAGCTCAAAATAGGGGAGTAGTATAGCGCCCTCAACGGTTCGCGTACAAACCAATTTTTATTGTTACATTTAACCTAACCGTAACGAACAGACATACATGAACATTGTATTTTAACCCTTGGGGGGGGGGGGAGGACATTTGCCCACTCCACCCCCTTTATCACACCTGCAGACGCCCATTTTGTTAAATGTGTCTTTTTATTATAGCAAATATGACTTCACACCGTTCCTTTAATTCTTTTCATTTTCTAGGGGGGGGGGGGCGGAGCGCCCCACCTTGCCCCATCCTGGCGACGCCCATGCCAGTATCACACACAGCAAGACACCCCCATGCATACGCCCTCAAAGAACATCAATACTAAGAGACCAACGTCTCCACGTGGCATCTCTTCCTAACGATAAGCAGGTTTCTTAAACAGAAGAAAAGAAAGAAAGATATCGAACTAAAGTAATCTCTTTCAAAAAACGACACGACCAGCGATGTCATAATTGATAACAAAGTGACATGTGGAAATGCCAGTCAATCCGTAGCAACCAGGAACGAATCCGGTCTGGAAAATGTAGACAACAGTTTCTTGGGTAGTTTAAGTCTGCCTATCAATGGTCATTAGAATAGAATTAAGTGGCGGACTCGACTCGGCAGAACGACACGACTACCGGAGCATGCACTTGCTCAATGCAGTATCTTTACCTTCCAAATTTAACAAAAGAAAGACAAAAAGTTAGTTGTGTCTTACCTTGTTTGTTGTCTAAGATGCTTCCTGACGTGCTTTCACCCAGACAAGACGTGGTCAAATGATTTCTGAACCAGAGAAAAGCCACGAATTTCACCAGACAACCTTCATTTACGGCACTGCTCACAATGATAGCCATTTTGTCTGGTTCCCCGATAACAGTAATAGCATACGTAATCCCACTCGTCAAGGTACCAGTCTTTTGGCGCTAAAGGTGTGTTGTTGGGAGTTTCATCTATGGCATCCATCGTATGTAATTAGCTGAGACAACCTGAACATGATTAATATGGTGTAGGCCTATACCTGGAACAGGTCTGAGTACGAAAACGATGAAAAATGTCGCTTTCATTCAAGGCTGTCTGAACATTTCCGAGAATACGTGCCCTTTGGTCCGGTGTAGAGTCGACAGCACGAGGAATGTTGCCGCTGGCGAGGCACGTTCATGAACTTTAAATTCGAATTAACTTGGCAATATTATATTCACGATATGCTAACTGACATAAACCGACATCTTCCCCCAGTCCTTGTAAGTCTTAAATGAAGATCAATTAATCAACTAAAATGAAGATTACAAACTTGGTGGAAATATATACGTTCGGTGCGTGTTGAGACAAATTATTTATTAATTATTGAATAAAGTCAAGCTTGCTGAACACAGGTGTCACAAGATATGTGTGTGCTTTTAAATAGTGTAAAACAGTGTAATTATTAAGATAAACCTCACGTGATTAAATACATAATTAACATGACTTAGGTACTTAGATTTTTTTATACGAAAATCACATGTGATGAAGCAGATTTTTGGCACGAAGGTTGACGTTTGGTTCCGTCAATCTCAAATTTTCTGTTTTTATATATCGGATTTCAATTTGACGAACCTGGCCAAAAAAAGAGAGGAATAAAACCAGTTATTAGGCCTACGATTGCTTACAGCGTGTTGTGATTTCTAGAAATTAATACTTTTAGAAGTTTTAATTTGTCCAATGGAAAAGGTGCGCACGTTTGTCATGATATGACAAACTGACATTTTGTAAGTTTGGGACTGCCTTAGTAACTTACAGTTACATTGCAAATTTATGTAAATATTCATATACATGTTACTCTATTTACAAAAATACTTTACATAAATACGAGCATAAAAAACCTCTCTTTCAGGGTTTTTCAACTTCGCAACTTTTGAAACAATTAACGCCCCAAAAACTAAGTTCATTAAGATATTAAAAAAATCAGAAAAGGAGAATCGTTATAGCACCGCATTTATCTTTGTATTTCTGAAAAGTGTCACTGTGCCTATATTTTAAGAAAGGTCAGAATTAAGTTCCTCAAATTCACAGCTTAAAAAATTGTTCCAATTGATGAAAATGTTAGCACTGGTTCATTAAAAAGAGGAAATAATTTATGTTTTTTTGGTTGAATTTTCAGGGGATTTGGGGCTGTGTGAAGCTTAAAAAATCTGGTTTAGACAAATAGATCTGATCAAACGCAAACATGCACGACCTTATGCTCTAAATAACAAGAAAAATATATTATAAATATTTATAGCGTGTTCCAATAATTACAAGACAAAACACTTGTGAAAACATACACGATAGGAATTCAATGCATTATTTGCAGAAGCGTGAGCAATTACAATTTGATAATTGGACTTGAATGATAAGTGACATGTGAGGTGTGATTCAATTGTTATATTTCAGCATAAAGGAGGCACGTTGCTTGATTACGTTCATCAACGTTCCCTTTCGTTTGCCCCGCACTTATGAAATACCCCGAAATGTCTACGCCTTTCATTGTGATGTCTTTCAATTTTTTAATATTCCTTCAGTCTAATCAAGCAACGTCCCTCCTTTATGCTGAAATATAACAATTGAATTACACCTCACATGTCACTTATCATCCAAGTCCAATCTTTAAATTACAAAACTGAAATTTAATTAGTTTTCATGGTCAGCTGAGACGAGAGTGTAAATCTCAAGGAATGCGACGATTTCTTAAGACAAGGCCGTGAACACACCTTGTCATCTCAGCCAGAGAAATCAATAATAAACAATAACTGCCGAGCTACCTGTCACACCTGCTACTTAACGAAATCAAACATGATTCCTAATTCAAATAGATTGCACGATGTTGTGAAGACAACTTCGTGTTTTGATTTGACGTATGGTAGATGAATTAAGTTTGATTATAATATCACATTTATGATATTTTGAAACCAAGAAGGCTTGAAACTGAAAACAAAATGGAACAGTTTGCAGCAGCGGGTTATGTCAAATTAATAATGTTGATCAGATAGGAGCGAATCGTGCTGTTCTGATTCAATCAGCAAAACTCATGTATATTAGGCCTAAACAGATAGCACAATCCAAATCAAGATCAGAATATAACTTACTAGATTACGACCAATCAGATCAGAAGTGATCAAATCAGATGAGTTATTTACATTGGATCAGACAGATTTAGATTATCCATATCTTAATCGGCTCAACTGAACCCTGCGAGTCTGTGGTCAGCGGAATGAATTCCTATCACATGTAAATCTCAAATTAAACCAAATCATAATCATGTGACTTTCCCTAATTGTCAACGACCGGCTCTTCGGACTGCCTGCCCTTCCGTCGACAGGGTGTGGTCATCCACCTGCCAGTAGCGCAGAGAAAATCGCAAGCAGCTGCCCTGAATTGGGCGTTCCTCATGGAGTACACCAGTGGGTTGCAGGCGGGGATGATAAAGACAACTGCAGCAGCAACAGTCAGATAGATCGGTGATGAGTTATTATCACGAAGACTACCGAAGCTAACCACGAGACTAAGAACCATGATGGGAGTCCAGCACAGAACGAAGATACTGAGGAGGATCAGCAGAGTGACGGCTGTACGAAGATCGGCATGGCGACGGTTTCTGCACAACAAAACGAGTGAAACATCGATATAAGATTCGGGGAAAGAAATATTTTCGTCTGTTGAACCCGAGTGTTGAGAATTTCGACACGTTGCTTCAGACGCGTGAATATTAACCATAGGCGTAGCCAGCGGGGGTGAGGGGGTGGTAAGGGGGGTATTTACCCCCATCCCCAATATTTTGTTAAGACTGCCCTTTGCCATTCAAAATGCTTTTTTTCACCAGCGCTTATCCCCCAAATATATTGCCCTTATTTTGTTAATGCCCTTTAAAAATGTGCCCTCTTATGTGTGCCCCCCCCCCCCCCCCCCCCCCCCCCACTATTTGATTTTACGGAGGCCAAGTGTCCAGAGAAAAAAAACGTGTCTACATTTCGGCATAGTTGTGCAAGTGCCCTTTTCAAGACATTTTTAACCCCCCCCCAATAAAATTTGACCTTGCTACGCCCCTCTTAACGGAGATTTATAAAAGAAATTAGTCGACAAAGTAAAAAAGTATTCATAAACCATTTCTCGGCGCATGCGCTTCAAACATTGCATGGCTGATCGTTTGCAAGAAAACAAAAAAACCAGGAACATTAACAATAAATGACTCAATTATAAAGATGCGTTTATTGGTTCTTCTTTAATTGCATCACAAATGATAAAAGTATTGCGTACCGATGTTTTTAAGTCTGCCTTAAAAAAAAAAAAAAAATATTTTTTCAACAACAAAAATATGGCGACATGAAGTTGCAAATGATCGTATTTAAAACATAACAAAAAGTAACATTTCACATTGGTCAACTAAACTGACGGTCTAACAAAAACGAACGGAATTTTCTCATTACACAAATTGAGAACACTGGAACGATAAATCACAAGCGAATCGAATCCAGGCCCGGTCGAGGCTGGCAATGTGATGAATGGGGCCAATTCGTTAGCCATATGCTTCCCATCAAATTTTAATGATTGAGCTGGCAGGAATTTGTGTAAAGTAGGTAGATTTGTTTTCTGTATTGATGGGTTGTTATGGCAACGGAGTAGAAGCAGTCACGTATCACTAGCCTTTGCTGTGTTCGTGACTATAATTCTGATGGCGTAAATAGCAAATTTGATGTTCTTAACAACAGTGAAATTAAGTTTTAATACATCTCATTAGGGCCATTGTGGCAAAAAGAATATGGCACGACTAATAATACAACACACATAATACAAAAACCAAAAAAAAAATATAACATGCGCGTTAGATATTTTTGATCGATTCGCTCACACCTAATAAATGTCCACTCAATTCGAGAGAGATTTTTCCCAAAAGCAATTTTATATTAGGTGGAGTAAATAAAATACAAAACCTCCAGCTTGCTATGGGTATGTGTGTTCAGTTCCAATCTCATGGTAATAATAAAATATCGTTAATTCATAATAAGTACAATGCGCAGTTAAAGCAAATAAATAGTCCCACCTTATCCTATCCCCCAAATACCCTACAACATACAGAAGGCCTTGAATTACGTTATATTCTGCATATTCAGCTAAATAAGTGTTTTTGTTGGGATGGGAACAAATCGACGTTCACCACTTTCGCCATGATATGTTTCCATGGCAACCATGGGGAGAGTGCCCGAGAACCATTATACAAGGTGGAATCGTTGTCCGTAATAATTGCAATTTCAAAGTAACGCATCATCCTGGGTTGACCCTTGGTGAAAATAAGAGGAAAGAACGGCGGATCAGCGGGGTGGATAAAAACACATTGATTAAAATAGAGGAGCGAGATTGGAGTTTGTTTTTGAGTTCACAAAGTGCCGATTCCGTTTTCTTCAATTTTTTGATCCAGCCACGTACAAATCCCATGAAAAATCTATAATGCTGTCATGATCCTTACTGTTAAAAGGTTGAAATTCACGAACATCCTTAGAACTTCCTTTTTTTTAAAGACTTTTTTCAAAACGGAAACTCTATGTTTTAAATAAATTACTTTGGTTAGAATACCCAGTCTAAAATTAGAATAAATTGTTACTTTATTTTTCATTATTTGCAGCATTGTCACAGTATTCCAGTGCTTTGTAAAAATAAATACAACTTTATATGACCAATTATAATGTTTGCTCACGTTGACTTTCATTTAGCTGATTTTAATATTAATTCAGTGATTTCCAATATGAAGCTACAATGTCCACTGTTTTGCAGCATCCTGCTGATTTGCCGTTGTGCAAATATTCCGAGCTGTACGAATCAAGGTCCCTCAAATCCAGACTGTTAAGAAACTGGGGCCATTTCACTCTATAATGAACCAACACGGACTAGATCCAGGCTCGCTGGAGAACTGACACAGGCCTCTGTGTATTATGCTAGCACGTCAAGAAGCGAGACAGCAAATATGACTCGCGAGAATTCATTAACGAGATGAGAAATATGACACGAACGTATCACACGAGCCAATTGTCACTTAGGGTTTATTATTATGGTCAGAACCTTGATTTGATTTATCTGTGGAAGGGGCCTTGTTATTACTTTTGGAGTATATGCTATGATGAATATGTCATCCATGAAATATATATATATATATTTGATATGAAATATGGGAAGTATATTCCACTGAAACAGCACAGCTTGTACAGGTAGCCTATGCGACCATTGCGAGGTACATGGTTGAAAGGCGGACATTATTTGAATGTATGATTACGACGACAGAGAGTTATATTTTGCAAGTGTAGCCTCGTTATCATGATGCAGTGCCTTGAACACCAATAATAGTGGATACGCGATATACACACATTTCATTATCATTATCGTCCACATTTTTACGATTCCGAGTAATACAGTCGATGATATTTTGACACTTGTATCAATTTGATTGTCTGCTAAAATGAAATTAATGTTGGTGTTCCGATTAGCAATTCAACAATAATGCACAGCGATTATTCGTGTGTTGCCTCCAGTAAGATTTCTCGTGTACAGCGCGATTCCGAATCGTAATACGCCACCGATATCGATTTCGTCACACGAGACCTCACACACGCACACAGGACGAGTCCTGTAGGGAAATATCAGCCCACGAGCACTGTGAATTAGTGAATACCAAAACATCCCATTTTTTCCCCGTCGAGTCCGGTAATTTCATTAGTTTCTTCCTTAAATTGAGTAAAATTGGGAAACAAATGACCTCAGAAAACGTGTTTTCATTGTTACAGCACTTCCCCACCGCGTACAATCAGTGACAATGCACAGTGTGCAAAAAGCCGGATGCCAAATTAAAGCAATTTTCCAATGAATTTTAATAGTATGACCTTGCAGCAACAAAATGCTGACGTTTCATATCAAAGGAACTGCTCGTTTCTTTTGACCACGTCGTGGGATTATTGTTTCAATTCGTTTGTATTGTACAATACAAAGCCCATTAATTTCAAACCAGAAAATTAAGAACAAAGAAAGTACACTATAGTGGAAAGAAAAAAAACCACATGTACACACAAAACCCTAAAATGACAGTTAGCTTGAGATTTGCTGAGATTCTGTCAAAAGGTTATTAAACATCAATCTGCGAAATTGTTTGCAAAATTGCAAATCGACATAGATTGGGGTTCAGGTGTTGATAAATGATAGTTTCTCAGTTGTCTCAATCCGTTGTCAGTGTGAGATTATGACATTTTCTAATCTCAGCTTCAAGCTGTGTCTTTGAAATTTGAATGCATCTTAAATTGGCAATTTTGGTCGCAGTGGTTGTTTTTCAGCATGTTATAGTCTTGGCAGTGCTGACATGCATCTATACAGTATAATGGGGTAAGGGTCACATCATCTCACACGATCATTTCCGGTCTCAAACAAAATAACCAATAAAAACTTCTCCATATGAATATTTTATGCAGATCCTTAAAATTTAATTCTACATAAAATTAAGGCAATCGGTGGCTCTGTGAATGAAGCAAACGTGTTTTTTTTTCTTAATGCTTGACTTAATGCTATCTTGGCATGATAACTTTCTTTATAATATTTCTTACATACTCTTGATACAGTAGCAGTGTTCATGCTTTCATATTATATTCTCCCCAGACACAATCGGGAACAAAATACCTGCATTATCCTTTCAGGCTGAAGAACATATCACCATGGTAACGGCCATCTATGAAAACAACTTACAGACTGACAAAAAGCGAAATAAGCCTTGAAAAATGCAGGCGCCGCGAGTCAGTTTATCCGATGTTCAATATGGAATATAATGACGAGGCACGTGATACACTTCGTGCTCCCTAAAGTTCCAACTTCAACTCCGAGTGTTCAGAAAAGAATATAATGTACAATCGGTCTTCTTTACGAAATCAACAGTGATTGAGGAGCCAAATATACTCAAAGATCGAGGGAGCAAGAGTATTTTTTTGTTAAAAAGACTGTAGTTATAAAATTAATATTAACTCAAGAAATTTATGTTTTCTGTCTCATAATAATCTGAAATTGGGGCCAAATGGTGGAATAATTGAAGAGGGATATAAGAAATTAGAGAGTCACGATTGATCTCGACAAGAGACTATAGATACTGGAATTCACTGCTTTTGATAAGAACTGTTTCTCTTCCCAAAAGAAAAGCACAAGATTTTTATATATCGAATAACCCGACAACATATTGGCAGGATGTTTCGGGAAAAAAACTTCAGCTTTTGAAAATACTATTTGACCAACCATTATTTTAAGGGTGAACGCGCACTCTTTTAATATTTGAATTTTCTATAAATAAGAAAATCCATAATGACGATTCTGGAGCAGTTTAACACAGTGTACGTGTGCGCACAGCCAACCTTGACCATGACAAGATTGATGATTGAATTCTGTCATTATGGAGAGCAATTCAGACCGACTTCTCATGACTAGCGGCTTACCAGGCTTTTCAACAGCATTACAATCTACCATAGACATTATGCGGACGCCTATGAGACAGCGCGTACTTCAACGAACATGCATTAAGCCACTCGAACATGGAGCACACTCCTTGTCAGAAAACGAAACATCCCATATAAAAGCTACACGACAGGCCCAAATGCCACATTATGGCAGGTAGTCTTTGGTGATTAATTTCAAAATTATGATATCTTCGTTTTAGATAAGAGCAACAAGTTTCAGGCGAAAAAATCCCTCGAATATTAAAACAAAACAATTTAAAAATCCAAGCGGTACAAAGACTGCGAGATATTGCGAACATATATATACACTGTGAAGACCTAATTAATTGAAATAATGGCGTGATGCCCGAGGGGAAAAAACAAATGAGCGGTTCTCTTTTTAAATTAGCATAAAAACACCACACTTGAGAATGAAAAAAATCTAATGTTAAATTTTGAAAGAAATTGGCTTAGCTTGTATCCCTAGCACAAGCGGACTTGAACAACGCAACAGCTTGTTATTTCTATTTTGCTTTAGGACATTTTCAATTAATGTCCCGTAAAAATTATAATGATTAAAATACGAAAACAACAAAATCTGTTGTCTACTTCCTGTGCCAAATTCGGGTTCTGGATTTCTTGTGACGTGAATAAAGAATGAGATCAATGCGAAAGTGTGATGGAGAAAATCTTAAAAATTGAGATGAGAGATTGTTTTTGAACGCAACAAGAATTGACACACATATCCAAAGCGAAACTCCACTTTAACACAAATTCATTAAGTATTTCCCAATATGTGACCTGTGCAACCTCCAAATTGGCCACAAATTCTGTTTCTCTCCATGTACTGTGACACTACGCAGCGTTTGCCGCAGTAATTAAATCAGGCTGATGGTCGCTGTAGCCTGCATCAGTTTCTTTCATGTTAATCGCCAGCATTTTCCTCTGTTGCTCATACGATTTGGAAAACAGGTCAACTGTCTGGCTTGCGAGGCACAAAAACAAAAACAAAATGGAAGAAAACAGATACAGTTGGGGAAATAGAGAACTCTCTAATCAGACAGATGTACATCGTAGTTTTTTTGGTCGTTAGGTTGGTAACTTTTCCTGTATAACTTTAGCAATCATAACGGTTCCACACTGTGAGAGCTTCAGGAATCAGACAAAATGGCGGCACTGTTAAAGAAATAATCAAGCACACCGTAGCAACAGGTTGAAATGAATTTATATGTTTTTGTTTTACTGTATCCATATGCAAGGCACTTTACCAAAGACATAAAAGGAGTAAATATTAACCTGTGAAATTTTGCTCTTGGATCCAACATACAAAGTTCACCTTCAACAGTAAAAATGATGGAGTGCAGATATTGACAAAATCAATCTAGCGCCATTTCCGACGTGTGCCCGGCTCAAGTGCGTTGGTCTCAATCTTAGGTGAATTATCTTGGCTCATGATCTTTGATTTAACATTAACTGGTTGCGGAACTTTTGTTGCTTCACAAACAAACAATCAAACAAAATGATCTACTTATGGATATATGCCTTAAACTTATAAAATACTCACTGTTTAGTGGGCCTTGCCAGGATCATGTTATGAGGCTTGACTGCACCAAACACGCTGGGTCCATCTTGTACCACTGACTGACTAGCCATCTGTGACACAGTGTTAGGCAGGTTACATCTTTTAGCGCCTACAGCTCGTATCCGCATCTTGACGCGCCTAAACAGGCGCATGTAGGTGACTGTCATTGTAGCCATAGGCGCAGCCACGACTAAGGTATAGCTGACGATCTGACTGGCAAATGGTGGGATTTGCTGGTGGAGGTCGCGGTTATCGTTGTTGAGATAAACTGACTCGGTTTTCTCCAGAACTCCCCAGATGATGATGGAAATGACGGCAGCTGCTAAGGCGTGGCTCCAGGCGTAGATAGAGAGGTTCTGGGCGCGCCTTCGTCCGACCTTCTCGCTGGTGTTGGGTTTGGAGACCACAGCGTATCGATTGATGGCAATCACACATAGGAGCATGTTGGAGGCGCCACTCAGTAGGATCAGAAAGAAGAAGTGAGCCATACTGAGGTCCACAACGTGCCATTTGCCATAGAAGACGCCTGCAACAACCATAGGTAAATTAATCAAGGTGTTAAGCAAATCAGCCACAGCCAACATAAAGGCTAAGAAGTTACCTGGCTTAGCACCTACAGTAGCCCAGGCATGTCGTAAGGTCCCAAGGACTACCACGTTACCTAGCACTGATGCTAAGCCTAACACGGCAAGAATCACACAGAAAACTACGATCATAATCGGCGATGTATCAGGATCAGTTTGCCTTGGTGATGTTATGTCGGGATCTACTGTAGCGCTTTCCATGCTTGCTTCGAATGTTGTTGCTATAATAGGTCTACTGTGTTCTTAACCAATTTTCTTGTCTTTCGCAAACAAAATATCCGACGAAGACCATTAAAACTTGCCGCTTACTATCATGTTTTTACGCAACGAGCAACATGTCAACGCAGGGCTGCAGCCATCACATTATGTTCAGCCTATATATGTCACTCTTGCGTAGGAGAATAGCGACGTGGAGTACAGCACGACCGTACCTGTTGATAGGAGGAACTAACCGCACATAATCTAAAACATCCTCCAAAATCCATCACCGAAGCGAATGAATTCAGAATCAAGGCAGATACACTATGTGAGATGTACGTTATCCCTTAGCTTATTCTGCAATCCATTAAGACATTTTTTGGTTCTTCTAGATATCTAGATGTCTCTCTAGATATGAGTCAACGACAGAATATCGCGGATGATGAAAAGAAGATGGAATAATGACCCGAAACGTTGTTATTTGCTGAGCTGTGTCTCTGCAATTCTACGTGGGTGTCATATCCAAACTGAGGAGTGCGTCTGTAGTGTTTGTCAGATATTACATCGGATAGCTGTTGGGTTGACGTAGATAACTGACTTGCTGTGGCAGATAGATGGTACAAATTGCACGTTGGATGCTTGGCTCTATAAGCGCAATCGTCGACAACATTCAGTCTTTTTGCAGCACGAGTCGGTAATCACAACCTTTTAGAAGGAGCTCAATTCCCAAGTTTCTCACTCCAGTAGATAGGACTGTCCATCTCTTATACCTCACGGGAATTACATGTAAGCTGGTGAAGTAAAAATCCAATCTCAAACTGACTGTTTGCAATCAGCACCAGTCAGGAGACAAGTGGATTACTGTCGGCGTGGAATTGACGGATGTACCTGATGACGCAAGCGGGTATGTTGACGAGGTTTTGATGCTGCTCACAATCTTCACTGCGTCTCAGTTCCTCTTTTGATTCACTCCGCAATGTATCAATAAGACTCTCATTTATCATTACCTCCAGAAACCGGTGCTGGAGATAGGATCAATAGGACACCAAAATGAAAATGATTAGCGACAAAAAGGAGTAAAATGGCACATTTCCGCGGTTTGTCCATTAATAATGGACTTTGTGAGCGTGTAATTGCGAATTCGTGAGCGCAAATCATAATGTCTACACTGCCTCCGACTAGTGGTTGTTCACGCCTGACTTATCGTTCCATCATCTTTTGTTGAATAAATTATCAGTTTCGTCAAACGAGCTGCTGGCTGTGTGCGATGCTAGTCGTAGTTTCCGTAACTGATCAGTTCTAGAGCACGTCTCAAAATGCACCAACAATCGGCGTCAGGTAACCGGCAGTACCCGCTCGATAAGTGTTGATGCAACCGCTTGGAAACCTCACACTACGCTCCAAGCACAAATTCTGACCTGGATTGGAGCTGTTTTTGCCCGCATGAAAATCCTGCCGGACGCGCTACTCCCGGGGCGTGTAACGCCAAGCTGAAAAAGAGAGGATTTGTCCCGGTCACTTTAAAGTCAATAAGAAACAGAGATGCTCTCTCGGGAGAGTGAATTGAAGATGAGGTAAGACAACAATCACATCTTGACAATCAAGCAGCTTTCAGATGTGATGCGCGCCCACGTCAAGAAGTTGCATTTTGTTCAGCAGTGCAGAGCCAGAGAATGATGACAATCTGAAATGCCGCTCGACGTTACCGGCGACTGTTCTATGCTTTCAGTTGGAAACTGATGACCGTAGTTAGTTTGGGAGTTTGATTTTAGTAAACACAAAGAGAATAGAAGACAATTTCAACAGAAGAACAATATGACTAAGAATTACATCCTTCTTCGAACCAGAAATTCTATACTGGAGCTACGACCGACATGCAGTAATAATTATGAATGATCTCTTTTTCAAACGACTACATGTACATGTATTTGTAGCTTATCAAAATTAAAAAAACTGTAAAATATTTGTCTCGACGTTTCGGGCAGCATATAATGGCCTTCTTCGATGAAATAAAGATTAATTTTATGAGATAGTTGACCACAATATTAACACGACTTCATGTTTAAGTCTGCTGTGAGTGAGTGACAGTTGCTTGGGCTTCCCATCCCTAGAGACCCGTCCCCGCTCCTGAAGTAGACTACTAGCAGATGCGCAAAAATCTGGCATAAAATATCACAAACAACGCTATGAAGCAACCACCAAAAATAAACAAAAAGGGGAAGTTTTCCTGCCTCTAGCCCTGCGTCATCATGACGTAACACACAACAAAGTGGATGACTATGAGCGCATGCGCAACCGCAAACATTTGAATGAGAAGGCTGGTGGCTATATGCTACCTAGCAAGTTCGAGCGGTCAAATTTAAACAAGGAAACGGTACACGTGCAGACGTTCGATTTGACGCCAAGATTTGGGGGGAAATTGCATTATCCTTTATATCAGACTTGCAAATGTGTAAGCAGTCTAGTGGCCGGCCGAGTAGATACAAAAGCCCACACCAAATAGCCGTTGCCTCATTATGATTTCACTTGTAATCACAGCTGGCCTCGGCTTTAGAAAAAAAAAATTAAGCCTTAGAAACCGGTAAAACAAAACTAATAACACGTCTGAGCTGAGCTCGGAAGAAACGGCAAAGGCAATTTTCAATCTTAGAATCGGGGGAAAATAATCAAAATGGTAAGGACAAAAGCCTTGTTGCGAAGCACAGTATGTTTATTTGACTAACAACTTACAAGCAACTGTATTGTTTACAACACGTGTGCAAGTCAGAGATATTACTAGTGTATAATATTTTATCAGTTTAGTAGATGCGGTAAATATCATCAAAACCTTTTACTTAAAACCTTTTGGAACGAGGATTAATCTACAGCCCAAAATTACATCCAGAACAGTGAATTACAATCGAATTCAAATTTTCAAATCTGACCACGAGGTGCACTTTTTCGATTTTTACAACGGTCAATGGTGAGCCAGTCACCTTGTTCCTTGATTAAAAAACACAATGTTTATATGCTGAATATTTCAGACACTTCAAACTCATCAAGATTTTTTTTTAAACAACAAGACTTTTTGTGGACACCACATCAGAGTTCCAAGAAACAGATTTTACAAACTGTTTCAAAGAATGGTCTGATGATTAATAACTCTACAAGGCAGTGACAAGTGACAGGCCCATGCAGTGTACACAAAAATAACAATATCTGTACAGTATTTTACATCAGCAGGGATTTTATGCCATTTATGAGACAATAATTTGCTGAATTTTAACACTACTTTCTGTTCTTACTCCTGATTGGTTAAAATTGGGGCACAGGCTATTTCATTAACCAATCCCTGAGCATTTTAGCCAAGAACCTTGCTGAATCTTCTCAAATCAACCACACCACAGGAACCCCATGGCACGTGTCTGCAAGTCAGCATTCAAGGGTCATCAAGCCTCACATAAAGTTGAGGTAGCTGGACTCTATTTTCCTCGATCCTACAAAATCCTCTGAAACCTCCGGGTAGATTTTAAAGAATCTGGAAGATTTGATTTTTATATGCCAGATCATGAAATATGAGACTCTATTCAACTACTTATGTTTCAAGGCAACTTTGCACTTTTTATATTGTCTGGTCAGGCAAACAGGAAAAATATGGAACAAGTACACAGAAAATAGTTTCCAAAAGAAGTTCATCCTATAAGAATGTCAGTTAATTTGGAGTTTTTTCAAAGTTGAACAGTTGACTGGAGCGGGGTTTGAACCTGCGACCTGATTACCGTTCCGGTGCTCTTCCAACTGAGCTATCCAGCCCTATATTGGTGGTTCCCCAATTTGTCAATGTCTTTGATCAAGGGGGGCTGGTCAGAAGCCATAAACGTGTATACGTCATGTTGGAGTTGTGTAATCACATATGAAACGTTTGCATCCTGTGTCTGTGTGTTGTGCTCTAGAATCAGTTTATCAAAACAGAGACCAGACTATAAATACACATGCACATGAAGACGGGTATTGCAACAAGATGAAGTCTGCACAAAATTTAAACAGGATTTATATATTTACAGATGCTTATGAGCTCCGTGCGCTAACAAAGAGGGCGCCCTTTTACCTAACAACGACGTCCCATGGGCGGGACATTTAACTGGTTGACGCGCACCGTTCCTTGTGTGTGACGCACGTACACCAGGGGATTTGTACTAAGTACACGCAGTGGTACGGCCACGCGTCGTGGCAAAATTGCAGTCAGGCACCCCCAACTGTACTTCCTTTGCCGGTGAGGGGGTACTTGTGAACGGAGCAGATAGTACAGTCTTGTTCAAATCGTGGGGTTTTCTTGGCCATGACTGAGGCTGTTTTGCCTCTGAAAGGATGCTGGACTGTCCATAGCCATACACAGACATCCCTGTCTTACACCAAGGCGTAGACTCTCAAGATCTTAACCAAGACTGATATCAGTAGACAGTTCAATGCCCTTCAGAGTGTAGAATGTGATGTCTCCATTATCCACTACAGCAACAAGAAGTGTGATTGCGCTGGCTTGTTGCAAGAGGTTGGCAAGAGTGAATAGGTCAGGCACGGCATCTGTCACTCTAAGAAAGAAATAAGACCCAAAGAACGTCAATATCCTCACTCGGAACACAACTGTCTTACCCTATTTGTTTACATTTTCTACTATAGAGTTAAGCTTGAACAGCCAACTCGACCCAAAAAATGAATCACATTTTAGGATGGTGTCAGTTGGAACAACATCAGAGATTGACAAGATATCATTCTTATACTGTCTGAAAGTGATGGTTCTTCAAAATGCAATAAGTTGCAAATTCAGGGACAAGGGTTGAAATGACAAAACTGCCATACTGGCAAACCACTTTTCATTTCATTTTCACTTTTGGACAGCCAAGCACTTGTCATGTCATGTTCCAAGGAATGCATCTGTTGTCTGATTGACAATTGACCATGACGTTGATGGGGCTTCATAACAATTTGCATCACTGTATCTGGTCCTTGCAATACAGACGAGGGCACCATTTACCCGAAGCAACCCACTGAGGTGACTATACATTGGTTATCATCTGCATGTTTGTTTCATCAAGTGCCGTTTGCTCCATCCTGGCTAACCACGAATCTAATATGATACACTCTACACACTGTACACAGTCCTACCACACGAGGGCCTGGATATGCACGAACTAATGAGCTTGATTATACCTTGCAACAACAACATGAAATTTGGGTCGACCAGGCTGCGTTTTCTTGTGGGTTGGACTCGAGAGAAACACATCGAAGGCAAGTTTGATGCTAGAGCCCAGCGGTGGTGACAATCTAGTGAATGATAGACGACTGTGATTATTATTATCATACACATCCCCCTGTTGGGTCAAGTGGAAATGAACTATAAATATCCTTTTAGGACAAAGGGTGACAGAGATCTACTTATAATAGCAGCGCGTAGTTCTATTCATATGGAAGATCTGGTGTGCGGCTATCGAAAGTCACAGCAATGTGTCAGTAGCAAAACCACAAGTCATAGCCATAGACTCAGGAATAAACAAAGTGACCATCTGTGACTTGTAGGCAAGCGCCACTATAAGTCCCAGCATTGTGTTCGAAATTCTTAATGGTAGTGCACTGTTTGAAACTTAACAGTTCTGGATCCATCATATTCCAACACCTGCTTGATCTTCATGGATTCAGGCCTACGGATCCTGGCTGTTGGAACTTATACAGAGATCAATGTCCCAGTTATGTACAAAGAGTGGGCCATTAGGTAACAAAATAATGCTAGATTTGGGTAGATTAATGTCGAGCAAACAAGGTCAAGGGATTAGGGTCAGGACCACTTGTGTCAACACAAAGAGAAACAATGGCATACCTGACATGTTCAGATGACACATTAGCACTGGAGATGACCTGCAGTTTGCTCAGTAGGTTTCCTACATCAAACAAAAATAGAGTAGTTATCTTTTTGACTGAATAACTTGGTAGCAAAGGTTGTGGGGATAATGTGACAGACCTTCTAACCAAGCAAACTTCGTACAGCAAAAACTGAATACAAGCTGAAAGATCAAACAGAATGTACTGCCGGTGAAATTTGCTACACCCATTTAGAAGCTCCATAAAATTGGTTCTGGTTCTTTTTAACTTAACTTTGGTTCGTTCCCAAGATTCAATATAAACCCGGTGTCGGTACAGGTTGATTTTAAAGAGCTCCCATTGGACAGAAAAGGGTGGGATGTATTGGTGGTAATTACCAGTATATGTGGCTTCAGAAGGATGAACCAAAGGTTTGACATCACCCTGCCAGAGATGAGCAGTTGGACATTCCAGAAGATCTTGGCTATCCTCTTCAACCCCAAGCATCAATAGTTTCTTGTACTCTCCCCAGTTAGTTGGAAGTTTTTTCTTCATGAAGCCTGCACGGTCCTCTAGACTGGATGCTGTCTTCCCACTGTTGGCCATCATCTTACCAGACGTGGCAATCATCTTAGCGGAGGTTTTCAACAGCTCTTGGGAAGCTTTCATAAGCTGTTCCGCATTCTCATCACTCATATCAGACTTTTTGTCTTTGGATGCAGGGATCTCTTTAGATTTACAGTCTTTGAAGAAAGCTGAGTAGTTCTCAGACCATTTTCCATCGGCCAGGTTGGGCAGCTTGATGGTCTGGAAGTTCCAGCTGGAGTAAGGACAGGACATCGAGTCACTGTCTGAACGGTCATTGAAGGTTGGCAAGAAGGTGTCTAGGACATCATCAATGTTGACAGAAGGAGTGCAGGATGGATGGGATGTACCTAGGTCAGAGCTTTCCCAAGGGGTGTTAGATGGCCGCAGAAGCTTATCAAAGTCCTCCTTCTTGATTTGGAAGTTGAGTGGGTATTCCTTCAAGGGGTTGTATTTGGTTGGAGAGTCTTCTGATGAGGGTAGTCGATATAAGGCTTGGTTGGTCTTCACACTGCTATCTCTACCGCTGTCTGAGTAGACGATGAGCTCATTATCAAGATCTAGCTTACGTCGCTTCTTGGAATGCTCTAGATCCTCTTCTTCTTTACCTTTCTCATCTGACTCAGTGTAGCTGGTGCTGCTGGGTAGACTTCGCTTCACTGAGTCATCAGCAACATTATCGCTGGCTTGTAAGAACATCTTGTGATAGTTCAGCAGGTTGATTGATGCGCCAAATCCCTCTTGACGGACAGGCCGCACCATGACAGGGCTATCTGAGTACAAGGAGCTAGCCTCTGAGGGTAGGTTGTTGATGCTGCTGCTTGTCTCTGATCCAGGAAGTGGAGGAAACCCCCCACTATTCATAGCATCCCCAGTGACAGCTTGATCGTTGGATGCTCGGCTAGAGACTCCAGCGAAGCTGCTGTTGCTCATGTCATTACTCGTCTGTTGACCTTCAGGAATGGAGGTATGAGCTGAGGTATCACCATAGCGATCTATTACCTCCTCTTGCATATCCGTCTTGGTATCATCATCCATCTGCTGGAACCATCCCTGCACTTTCCGATAAACCTTCTTTTGATTGTGACGATATTGATGCAGACGGATGCGATACTCATAATCTGTGATATCATTCCTGGAGATAGAAAATAAAGAGAGATGGTCGCCTTTTTGAAAAAAAAAGTACTTCTAACAGTACAGATAAAAAGTACTCATTTTCACTTAAGCAATGGAAATCTAACATCTCTAAAGCCGAGGTTACAATCTTGTCAATGACTAAAACTCTTTTTAGTCTGTGAAGGAGAAACATGAAGTAGCTCAAGACAAACAAAACCAAGCAACTTTCCAAACTCTTACTCTTTATGTCTTGTGGTGATGTATCCCAGTCTCATCAGATGGCTGTAAACCTGTGAAAAAATAAAGAAATAAATCAAATATGGAACTCATTCTGCAAGAAAAAAATGAACAAAACTGCCAATTTCAAAGTTTCTGGGAGACATTGCATGTACGTGTACTATAAGTTTCAGCTCCCCAAAAAGCAAGTAGCGCCACAAAAACTAGAATCTGAAAGTATATACATGTATGCCTCTGCCAATAAATTGTGTTAACAAGATTGGTTTGATATCTCTAGTTACTGACTCGCTACACACGTACCCTATTAACAGTGAAAATGAGAATAAGACCTGATACTGAGGGCACTGTACAGCCACTGCTGCAGTGTGCCAAGCTCAGGTATGTTCGTCTCACGCACAGATACTACAAATTGTTTTGCAAATTTGAAAAGTGGCTGCACAGTGTTCATACTTGGCACTATGCTTGTGGTAAACCACTGATGGGCCTAATGCGTCCTTCATAGGCTCTTGTAAGTACACCTTACAGCGCCCTCTATGGTCCTGAACAGAGTCCATTACCTGGTAATGCTCCAATGAGAATTGCTCAGGTATCATCAGCTCATATGCTTCCTGCATTGTCAATGGTACTCCCCGATGTCTCAACTCCATGCCATTCTATGTGAAGAACAAATGGGGGGAAAAACCACTTTTTTAAATACATGAAGTCTCCTTAGGCTTGTCCAGCGACCCCAATCAAAAGCCATCACTGATGTGATAACGCACTCATGTGAATGTCCCACACATTCTTCATAATGTATTTCAATGTAATGCATTTCATCAAAGGAGTATGGAGTGCGTGTGGACAACCATGGCATGAACATACCTTCAAATTGTGGTCACCGGATTTCACAGTCTATAATGTGACCTGCTTTCAGTAATCTAAGAATAAAAGAAATACCGGCTTGTATCCAGCTTTTTTTTTTGGGGGGGGAGGGAGTGGTAGGGTTAAAGAACAGGGACATGACCTTTGCAGAATACAAACTTGGGGTTTGATCATTTTGGTGCTTACCATCTCCAACAGAAAGAGTCCCTCCTCAGCATACAGGTACTTCCGACCACCAGAATGGTACCCCATGGTCTGCCAAAACTTCCCCTGTCACCAAAGTTTTAATATCAAATATTAGTTTATATTTTGTGCACTAACTAGTCAAGTTTCATTGTGATGTTCTCCAATACTTGGTCCAATTCCCTTCACACCGACATTTACATGAAGTACGAACCGGCCTTAAGACGAGCCAAAAATGATCTCTTGGATTTATAATTTACCAAATTTAACTGTGACCTTCACTGACCTTTTCAACTTTGACCTCCACCAGCTCCTTGCAGGGACTCCATTCACCTATGGCCAAATTGCTTCTGCAATATTAAACACACACACAAATTTCATTTGCTTCCTGCAAAATAAAAATAACTACAAAATTGTGTAATCTACTTTCTAAACCACTGTTAAAATGACAAAACAGTCATTACATGCAGGACTAAAACATTCCAATCATCTTTTCCACACCTCTGACATACCAGAACAATGATCCTTCTGCTTTTGAGTGTTTGAGCAACCAATATCCCAGATTGTAACCACCTCAAACCTAGTACATGTTGAAGAGGCTAATCTATTTCCCCTCTTCATAGACAACAGACATCTTCCCCTTACATTGGAATAAAAGCTTGATTTTGATTGGAAATCTATCCTTGAGAGTTATTTCTTGGATAATAACTTGAGCTTTGTTCCCTTGTTTTTAAGGAAACAGACCCAACAAGAATGCAGAGTTCACTAGTTACCCAGTCAATCCAAGCCGTTACTTTTGTTGTTGTCACAAATTTCTCACAGATTTCTGAAGACAGGGATTGACAATTCGGTGACAAGACGATGAAATCACAGGTTTATCATAGATTCCATAAGAAAATGGAATTGTGTTTTAGGCCATTTCAAAGATTACAGGTTGTTGGAGAAAAAATCATTGAAATGGTGATACACAATATAAAAAAGATCAGTGCAAAGTGATTTATGAATGGTTAAAGATGTTCAAAGTGAATTATCACATATGAAACAAGAGAGAAACTATAAAACAAGAGAATGCAAGAATCCTGCAAAGTCATCAATTGCTGTGCAACGATACTCACAGTTTAGCCACCCTCCGTTCTTTCAGTAACGTAATTTGCTGCTCATGAAGACTCCGCAGCTTCTGTTCCTGGCGTTGGGAGCCATCCGGACTTTTTTCCTTAGGACCCCTACGGGGAAGAGAAGAGTCCAGCCGTCTATAGTTCATCAGTTCCTCCGTTCTGAAACGAGAAAGTTTAAATGGTTACAGAATGCTGTGACTTCAGCACACGATCAGCTGTACACATATTTGTTAGATACTGTTCAATTTAACAAAATTTGTCTATTTTCCTTTCGTATGCAAAGTGCTTATTATTGGCATTTTGATTTTCTACAAGAAACAAACTATCAAACGGGTCCTTTACATTTAGAATATCAATGTATCTCATATGCACATTACTGTTTAAACAAAAGCCTACAGGACAAGCTCATCTTCTTAAGTAACTTCCATAAATTAAATTCAACAGAGAGCAGGAAATGCAAGCGTATGTAATGCAGTTTTTTTTTTTTGTTTTTTTTTTAAATTTTAAGTTAGCCTGAGGGCATTTCGTCATGCCAACAAGCTGAAAGTCATCTCAGACAATCCCATTTTCTTCTTCTTCATCATATGAGGGAGTAATTGCAGAATTGGAAAGGGGAAAATTCAATTATTTTATTTTAACAAATAGCGTTCTGGAAGCTTAAAACTTAAGGCAACTGATGAATGTATGTGCCCAACAATAACTTGTAGAATCCATCCAAGAATAGGGAAATAAATTGTTGACAAATAATATCCGTGAATGTGCAAATGTGAAATGTAGCATTCCTTGTATGTCAATTGTTATGTTATATTGACCTGAACATGTGTAAAACAAATTAGGATGAAACCTTCATGACGGCATTTTTATCTGGAAAATGGATGACCAGAAATCTGCTTCCTGGTATAGGCCTAAACTTATATTTTAATATTCAATTGAATGAAAGGTCTAACATTCCAATATTCAACTGATCTAATTAATTCAGCCTTTTTATAAGCAATAAGACCATACTGATTTCTTTCATTCCGAAAAGGGTTTAGTGTCAATCTTTACAGAGTGAAATTGAAACTACCCGTATGAAACTTTCACCTAAGTTACATGTGCACAAACCATGCAAAAGTGAGAGTGGCATCTACAACTACATCTATGTTAGATCACCTGATCAAACAATTAAAACATTATAACCATTACAAACAAATAGATTTCATAAATGAATTAATTTCTGCTAAAAAAAAAAAAACACTTATTAATTTATAATCATCCCACAACATTTTGATAAAAAGGCTATTAGTGCTGCAGCAAGTGCAAATCTATACTCTATGTATCTTTGGTTTACTGCATGCACGGTCGTCGGTCAATCATGTTAATATTTGGATGTCTAGCTGGCTTTGATTTTTGAAGGGGACACATGAATATGCATGAGCTATTTTTTATAGCGAGAGCAATATATTCTTGTATCCCCCCCAAAAAAGGCCATCCAATAAAATATTATTATGCTGACATGGTCCGCAAGAAATAAAGGAACAAATGTTGCAACCTGACGCCACTTCAGGGGTTGTGTACAAAGTCTATGGAGCTGAGACTAGAGTCAAGAAAATTGAAGTATTTCCTATCCTAACAATTGGAAATGTTTCTCACTCAGTCCAAAATTCATGTCTTATCATTAGTTTTGCAATGAAGGCTTCATTATGAAGAAAAACGTGGAGTCAGGGTGCAACATTTTTTCCGAAATAAATTTCAGGACATGGTCACAATTATTTTTACATTACAGTTACACTGATTCTTTTTTTTGCCACTGCACTGGCAATGACTATTGTCTGGAACCTGTGGGAAGTAAATATAAATAACATGAATAATAATGAACTTGGCATAGCATTGTTCGGTGGTGATGTGATCATAAAAAATGTCTCTTTTCAGTTGGACTTACCTTAGAGTTTCTGCCATACCATCAATCAGATGAGAGGGGCTGCATGTACGAAAAACTCTGGTAGTGTGCACGTGTATCAAGTTTCCTAAGGTGTTTTTCAATCATGTCAATAGGGCCTAATTCCTCGAATAATGCCGGCCACAGCTGAGCTGTCACTCGTCAGCTTTTTCAACCCCAAAAATCGCCGGAGCTCGTCAGCATAATAACTTATGTCCTTCATAAAATACTTGCGTTATAAGGTTACAATGGAAGATTTCCAATTCAGCAAATTTGACAGGCTGCCGGAAAATCCTTCATAATCTAAAAGATACCTTTTTAAACACAACTTCACGTGCATGTCCACGTGAAATTAATTCGACTGGTCCCGCCCCACACATACAGCTACTAAATTGTTACCCGCGCAGTGTACCAGTGAAAAGAAGGTAAACGCATCCAAATAAATAGACTTGTTACCAGCCTTTCCTTCTTCTTCTTCTTCTTCCAATATCTGCGCACTACTAAGGCACATTGTTGGCCGCAAATTTCAATTACTGTCTGATGTCAAATTCGTTATAAGATCGAATTATAAGAAGATTTAAACTGCCTCCCCTCATTATTTTTAATCCTGGCCACGCCCTTGAAAAATTGTAAACACTTGGGGGCGTTTTCATGCGAAGTCACACATAATTTGCATATTTTTAAAGTTTGGTAGTTTCGCACGTGGACTTTATCATCGTGCCGTGTTTTTATTTACTTTTAATGACCAATATAAATGCTAGCCTTGACCAAAAAGATAAGGGGGTGTTGAAAGGCGAGGAATGTTGTATGTTCCAAGGTTCAAAATATCTACACCGTACCACAAGCGCAGATCGGCCCATTGATGATCAGTTACTTGGCGTACGTGCTCCACCAAAGCATCTCCACTGAACGGGTACCGCGCCGCATGACGGTGGCAGCCGAAGTCGAACTGTAGATGTGGAAGTGCATGCATTGGTAAGTATAACTCCAAAGTAGTAAGATATTGTTTTCTTCTTCTGGATAGAGTGTCTTAAATGTCGGTTAGATCAGTTTCCTGTTATAATAATTGAACCGTGGCTTTTGTCAATTTTTACATTTTTAGCGTTTTTAATTGGTTTGTTTTATTTTTAACCTCTAAAAACGAAACTTTCACAGTTTCACCAGACAGAAAAATGAGAAAGCTTCACTTAGCCTTAATAATAATATTTCTTACAAAATCTTGGTAACTGAAAGTACCGTAAAACCGTAACAAAGTGAACTATCTGGTAGTATTAATACAAGATGTTTTTGTTAAACATCAACTTAAAAAAAACCCTGATTGTTGTAATCAAAGGATAGTGGAAAATGAATTAAATTATGACAATGTTTTTAATATGCATTTCTGTTACAGAAAACTCTTCAAAGCATTCCTCGTATTTGTTGCTGTGCATTTGTTCAGGAGAAACTATTTGGAGGCAGAAAAATTCCACGAAAAAAACCCACTTGAAGAAAGTAATGTCTTCAGACCAAGTTCAAACGAAGTTGAAGAAGGCTGCCTGGGAATATTGTTTCTCAGTGGACGTCTGGAAGGATCGTTTTCCTTTTACCAGATGGCTTCCCAAGTATCGACCTAACAAAATCCTGAATGACATCATTGCTGGCTTGACTGTAGGGCTTACAGTTCTGCCTCAGGCCCTGGCATACGCAAACATCGCTAAACTCCCTCTGGTGGTAAGTGTAGTGGATCTTTTCCAAGTTCATCATTATTTATTGGCCAGAATTTTCCTTCCGGGCTTAAAAAAGTATGTTTCAAAAAGCCCCCTCTTGAAGACGATTTTGTTTTTCATTTTAAATAGGTAAATGTGGTGTGTTTTCTTTTAGTTCTACCATCCTACAGAATACATTTCCAAATTCTAAGGATTTCAAATTCATTGAGATTTCAGACATCTTAGAAAATAAATATATATAACTTGAAGTCAAAAAGCTACAAAAGCATATCCAGGTCAAAGGAAAGATACTATTTGTCCAGTGATTAGCGTTCTGAAAGGAAATGGTTTTATTTTCTACTCAAAGCAAGTAACATATTGTTTTTTTCCCTCTGTCATTTATGTGCTCAATGTATTGTTTTTCTCTTGCTTGTTTGCAGTATGGCTTATACTCGGCCTTCGTAGGTTCCTTCATGTACTGCATCTTTGGTATGTCCAAGGATATCACCGTTGGTCCCACTGCCATTATGTCACTGTTGGTGGCAGATTACGGCAAGCCACTGGATGATGGATCTGAAGACGCACTCAATGATCCAACCTATGCTGTATTGCTGGCATTTTTCTGCGGCATTATACAAATTGGTATGGGAATTTTGCATCTGGGTGAGTACAGCAAAGTTAGATTTTTTTCAAAAAAAATATCTGCTTACAGATATTATTTGCTAATGGTGCCAATAATTTGGATCATAATTTTAAAACATGAGAAATCTGGAAATTAGCTTACCTTGGTTTTCTTAACACATTTCAAGCTTCCCAACATTCTATGAATAAAATCAATATCCTAATATTTAAAAGAATTGGTATGATACAACTGATGCTTTAATGTGATTCTGAGCTCTGTAAAGTATTTGTGACTTTCTTTGAAATAACATTCCAAAAGGCGGACTCTTTAGACCAATAGAATTATGAAAATTATGCCTTTCCACTTTGGTGTGTGATGAAAACACCTCACGTTAGGGATGGATATGGACTTACATTGCCTTACATTTTCTACAATTTCATTAAATGACAGTATTTTGTTCAATGTGATGAAAGTTCCTGCCTACCTGCATAGGTTTGTTAAACCCTTCACAATTATGTGGTAATTGTCTCTTGATATTCAATGATATTAATGTCTTTCTGCCCACAGGTTTTGTCACTAATTACATTTCCTCAGTGGTGATATCAGGCTTCACATCCGCCTCCGCTCTGACAATTGGTTTTGGTCAAATCAAAAACATCTTAGGCATCCGCTTCCATTCTGAGGTCTTCACCTTGGATCTTTACAACATATTCAAACACATCGGAGAAACAAAGTAAGACTTATATTATTTTCCTTTTCTCTGGTGTATTGGTTTTATTTTTGGAAATTAATAATCAGGAGAAAAGTATTTCAAAAAGTTATTATGACAGTCAATGATGTTGCAAACCAGATTTAGTCTTTGCTGGGCTAGGGGGATATTAACACTCATTATTGCAGTCAAGCCCTCATAAAAAAAGGTTTTCTGAGATTTTCAGTGCAGGCCATGCCTCATTCAAAGCAAACGAATCTGAACAATAGTTGGAATATTACACTTTGTCACTCTTAGATGCACTGTTTAAGAAGATAAGGAAAACGTTCGGAAGTTGCTCAAAAATATATATAACATTTTAGTTTTTTTATTTTAATCCATTTTTTTGTCCAATCAGTTCTGTCAAGAACTAATTAACATTGTTCTCATTGAACAAGTACTGCAGTGAATGAATGAGACGTTACTGAAATAGTTGCATTATTTGGACATTCTGACCATGGTAAAAAGACTGAATTAAATATGGCAGGTTCAACAACTTTTAAAAATATTGTTATACCTTGACACTTTGTTCCTTCTCCCTTTTCAAAAGACCTTCATTTTGCCCCTCCCCCTATCTGAATTTTCTGTCAAACAAAAGCCCAAACTTCAAATCGTAGCAACATATCACTGTGAAAACTCAAAAGAGATAAGTTGCAGGTTTGTTCTTGTTATACCCTTGACATTCTTCTTATCTCACAGGGAATAACCCATATCAAGTCCTGGGGGCTATAGTCAAATATTTACTCGGACACCATTTAACAAAATCACTTTATATCGATCATTCAATCACCGGAACAAACAGTACCAGGGGACATCGCAGGGAAAAACCTTGTGGGGTCGGCAGGCAAGTTGTTTACCTTTTGAGAATTGTTGGGAGACGAAATTTACTCATTTAAATAAACTTTACAAAATACAAATAAATGTCTTGAAATAGGAAATTGCATGTGTAAATTCTGGGTTTCATTACACACACAAAATTTCTTTTTGCTCGCCTGGTTGAACAAATATTTTTCATATTGTCCTCCACATTATTATCATGTGAACTGTTTCATATACATGTAATTGTATAAGTTCATTTTATGTAACCAGGAGCAGTTGATGGAAAATAGAACAGTCCAGAGTGCGGTGTTTACAAATAAATATTGGCTATGATCCAATTAACAAGAATGAACCTGACTAAAACACAATCATCAGCTCAGAGACAATATCACAGAGACGACTATCCCCCCCCCCCCCCCAAAAAAACATGGCAGTTTGGCTCTTTTAGGGAACGTCCCTTGCAAAATCCTGTTTATAAATATTTCCTCTGATGTAGGTGTACTTTGTATGTGTAAGGTAATCCTAACAAAGACAAATAAATATTTGTCAACCATAAGTCAACATTTGGATGAATGGTCATGGTGTAGTCTAGGGGAAGTCCCTTGAAAGAAAATAGATAAGATAAGGTTTTGTGATTATTATGGTTAAACAGTCAAGAAAAGAAGTGCAAATATTCAACTCCATAAAAGGAAAACCAAAAAGATGATGTTTATTCTTGTGAAATTTCTTGGCTTCTCAACCTGTTATCTGATGGAAGTTTTACAGCTGTTATCTGATGGAAGTTTTACAGCTGTTATCTGATGGAAGTTTTACAATCAAATCCCTAGCTGTTACTAGTGACAAAAGACTGATCAATTATCAAAAGAAGATTAAGCAGAAAAGTTGCAAACACTTTTGAAAATCTTTTTTTAAGAATGTTCAATAGTATTTAGCTGAAATAGTTGGATTTAAATAAAGCCCTCAATATAGTATAATTTTCACATATCTTTTTATAATTCATTTATTTAATAGGCAACCTTTTTGGAATTTAAATTTACATATTGTTTAAGTTTTTGTTTGCTATTTTGTTTTTCCTCAGATGGGCAGACTGTACCTTGGGCATCTGTTGTATTGTGACTCTTGTTGCACTGCGGGTGAGTGGTTATTATTGGTGATTGAATGATGGTGAGGATTCACTCAGACAAAATAAGACTGCTGACACTGCTCTGGTTCACTGATTAATTGCTTACCCTCAAACTTTTTCTCTCTCTACAGATGGTGAAAAACAAAAGTCAAAACTCCCTGAACCAATTAAACAGCTCATCGCCATGGCAACGGAGGGTAATCTGGAAGACACTCTGGATCATAGGCACAGGTATTCTCTCAATCAATTGATGAAGATAATTTAAAAGAATTGTATATAAAACATTTCTCATTTCTTGCTTACCATCTTACTGAATCATCCATTTTTAATGATTGTTCACACATCTAGAGTTAGTGTTAACAGAGTTTCCACACCTTCCACCTCTGTGACTTGATTTCAAACCTGTGTTTTCTGTCCCTAACTGGTTCCTTTATTTAATTTTTAATTTTGCATGGAAACCCATTTCACGAATTTTTTCCTCCCACCTCTAAAATTGTACATTTCTTTGTTGTCCTCTTCCTATAGGTTTCTTCAGCTTCCAACCATAGTGCCTGTACACTTTTAAGAACCCTTGGTTTGATAACCATAAAGAATTAAAAGGAAAAACTAACAAATGTTTTCCTTCTCTCATGTTGTGTTATATCAGGTCGGAATGCAATCGTAGTCATAATTGCATCAGGTGTCGTGTATGCACTCATCAGCAACGATTACGATGGCTACATAACAATAACAGGCAACGTGACCTCTGGCCTCCCTCCGTTTCAGCTTCCAGATTTCCAGGCACCTGGCATATTGACGGTGGGTCTAGTATTACATGTATATCTGTCATTTTTTTGTTCAAGAACATTGTCTTTATGGAATTATCAGGTCAGAGTTATGTTGAAAATTGTGTGTTTCATTCAGATGTTTGATTTCAGAGGAGAAACTCTCATTCTTTGTCTCTTGTATCTAATGTTTGAATGATCTGGCTACAGGGTTCTTTTCTTTTTTTAATTCAAGTTTCACTTTTTTTTTTTTTTTTTTTAAGTTAGTAGTACTATTGACATTTAACTTCCTCCTTCGAGGAACAGTGCTTACAAAAGTTACAGTATTATGAAGTACTGTAGTACACTGAATCTTATATCTAAATAAATATAAATATAAAAGTATTGAGTAAAACTACTGAGTTTGTTTTAATTCATGAACGATTACATTGATTCCTTCGTACATCCTGTGTCTTGCAGTATCTCAGGGTTGGTCTCATCATAGTTCCTCTGATTGGTTTCTTAGAGAACATCGCCATAGCCAAAGGATTTGGTGAGTTGGAATAGCAATGTAACCACAGGGTCAGATGAGGTGATACCCCTGATTGCCAGGCTAATCATCTTTCTTGTTGAATAACAACTCAAAAAAGTGCAAATATACATGCTACTATACAACAAACTCTGGCAATTAAACTAAATGATACCGGTGCCCTAATAATGATACCCTAATTGATACCGGTACTTCCTCCTGTTGGTGACAATTGGTAAGAGCTGCTTATTAATGTCTTGTTTCTAATATTTAATTAAACTAAAGAATTATTTTAAAACTTCTTTTCTACAGCTCGACAGAATGGCTACAGAGTGGAGTCCAACCAGGAACTGATAGCCTTGGGTGAGTCATTATTGATGTCTTTTGATTTTCTTTTTAATTCACGTAGAGAAAAGCTTTCTTAAATAAGAATAAGAACTGACCGTTCCAACTCAGTTTTATTTTTTTTTGGGGGGGGGGAGGGGAGGGGGCATATATTGTTTTCCTTAAATGATTCAATTTTCACTCCACAGCTTCGTATTCCTTATATTTTATATTCAGGTTTTTGCAATATGGGAGGATCCTTTGTCTCCTCATACCCAACAACTGGCAGCTTTTCAAGGTAATAAATACATCACTTTATTCTATTCAACTCTGTCATTTCTTGTCCCTTTACTTCTTTTTTATTGAAGTTTCTAACAATACTTGTAATCTTTTTCTCTCTGTCCCCAGGTCTGCCATCAACAGTCAATCCAGCGTGGCCAGTCCATTGGGTGGTCTAGTGACTGGTTCTCTGGTTCTTCTAGCGTTAGCTTTCTTGACACCAGCCTTTTACTACATCCCTAAGGCTGCCTTAGCAGCGGTCATTATCTTCTCCGTCTTCTTCATGCTTGATTATCAGATCGTTGGCCATCTCTGGAAAATCAGAAGTGAGTCCAGTTTCCAATATTCTTTTTTTTTTGCTTTAAAATGAGAGATTTGTTTCACAAATTCATCAGTGTGTTTCCAGCAATTCACAACTTTTTTGCATCACCCTCTTCCACCTTTGTGGTTTTGCCGACACAATCTGTCAACTTTCAATCTTTTTTGATTAGCATTTCATTGCATAGTGTTTCGGCCTTGTTCTCCACCCACTCCCAACATTGTGCTTCTCCCATTTCCAACTGAACCCAGCAATTGGCCAATCAACACCTTCATGCTACAACTGTGCGCTCCACAGATCATATTGCCAGGCTTCACCGATTCTTAACTTTCACATTCCTGAAAAACGGTAAGACTTGTTTTAACAGAGAACTCATGCACTACAATGTCTGCTTTTACTCACCAAAAATTAAGAATAGTTAATCTTCACAAATAATTTATTTAAAGGTAACAAAATAAACATGGCTTCTGACTAGTGCCCCTTGAACAAAGATATTGACTAATTGGGGAACTGCCAACATAGGGCTGGATAGCTCAGTTGGTGGAGCACCGGAACACTTATCTGGAGGTCGCAGGTTTAAAGCCCACTCCAGTCAATTTCTTTGTTCAACTTTTCAATCACAATAAAAATTAAATACATTTCAGCCTATTTCTCCATTTAATTCATTGCGAGGGGTCACATCAACCAACTGAGTAATACAACATTTATTATTTTAAGAGTTCTTTTGTTTTTGTTTGTCCTCACAGAATGGGAATTGCTGACATTAATTGCAACATTTTTCCCGTCCTTACATCTTGGTGTTGAGTATGGTACCATGATCGGCATTGGAGTAGACCTTCTCATGCTACTCTTCCCTGTGGCTAAACCAAGCTACAAGGTCAGGAACCAGACATAATCCCTCACACAGCACTACAAGTTGAAATTGAATTTAACTCTGCAGAAATGTATCAAGAATTAAATCCATTTGATGGGATTTGATATCTTATAATTTTACTTATTTGTTTTTCCAATACAAAATTTATATTTATTTTCCTATAGATGTACATGCTATATGAATTGTATTTTGTTCATGGTTGGATATAAATAAATGTTATATTGAATTGAATTGAATTGAATTGAATTGTTAATACTGACACAATGTAGTACAAACAAGCATTTCAATTAATTTGGAGGTTTTGTTTGAAAGATCAGTACTGTTTTACTTTCAGGTCGAGCAAGGTAACCCGTTAGTGATTCGCTTCAAGCAAGGATTACGTTATCCGGCTGCAGACAGACTGCAGACAGTACTGGATGAGGAGGCTTTGCTCATCGACGAACCTAAATCAGTCATCTTAGATATGAAACACATCAATGCCATTGACTTCAGCATTGCTGAGGTGAAACTAAACAGTCCTGGTCAATCTGAATACATGTTAGCAAAGATTTCATAATTAAATAAATATTGAATGCTCTTTACAATTGATTGATGGTTCAGAAATATCTTTTCCCTGAAGATTAAAAGTAAACTTTCTTTTTCAATTTTCTTTTACTTTTAAGTTCTAAATGAAAAAGTGCACTGCTAGTGTGTTTTAATTTACAACTGTATGCAGCAAATGAAACCAACTGCTTTGTAAAGAAGTGTTAAAGGCAAAAATGTAATCATTCTGGTTTGGATTTTTTCTTCAGGAACTGCAAGATAGCGCCAAGGCTTTTGAGAAGGCAGGGAAGAAACTAGCAGTAGTCAATGCAAGAGTAAGTTAGGAATTCTTTTGCCAATTTGTTGACATTTCAAGTTGTGAATATCGTTCGCAATGTCAATGTTGTCAATTCACCAACTTTCATAGCTTACTGTCTGTTCTATTTTTTTCTTAAGTCTTCAGTTAAGAAGATCTTAGACAGAACAGACATCAAAAGTCTACCAATCTATGAGTCGGTTGAAGTTGCCACGGAGAGGATATCAGCTACAAGGCCTGCTCCTAGTCCAGCTGGTGGGTAAAAACCTAACCCCATAAACCCCCAAATCCCCCCCCCACTCCATCCATCTCCCCTCCGCCATGCCATTGACCAATGAAACGACTTAAAATTTAGTCACAATATTATTCACCTGCATTTAAATCTATTTTTTTCATTTCACAGAGATGGAAGCATTTGATACACCTTTGTAAAGGATTCGGAATCGACTGTAAGCCTACGAATACTTCAGTTTTTATGCACAGTAAATAAAATGCATGTTAGTTGGTCCAGGAAAATATGTAATTCACTTCAGAAATTGTCAGAATAAAAATTTAAATTTTGCACTAGTAGCCTGTGGGATATCATTGACCGTCCCAAGTCCCAGCATTCCATTTGTTCTGAGAGTTCTGCAAGTTTTTGTAAGACTTTCATGAGATTGTTTCTGTGAAGCAAGCACTGGTTATGTAATACTCAATAGAGAAAGTACTTGTTAAAGCTATGTTCTACTTCTAACCTGTGAAAAGTTTAAGACCTTCAGTTACGAAGTGAACTGCTTGGCCGGCTGTGTGTACACTTATTTTCTTTTTCTAACACTTCCCTGGTTATTGGTAAAAGTACATTATGACTCTTTCAGATGATGTAGAAAGCTCTTTCAGCAGATGCAATATTTCATTCAGCAATTAAAAATTTAGTTTGTCATTTAAATCTTTCATTTTTTCTAAAACAAGTAAATTTCATCAGAAATAATTGTATGGTTTATCAATTGTTTGAAGAAATATGTACCTATATTTTCTATGTGTAAGTTATATTTTTTTTGTACTCAGATGCAATTCCAAGTATTTGTGTTTATCTCAATTCGTAAATTTAGATAGCAGCTTGCTTTTTGGATTGTGCAAAATGAAATCAAACAAAACATGAAAGTTAAACATGTATAAAAAATAAAAAAATGTAGGCGTACTTCTGTTCAAATATGTATGACGTACCACACTTGAAAATAAAATGTGCTAAAAAGGGGCTTAAAATAGACTTAGTCTATATATACCTAGTTCTATTTTATACCCAGTTCAAAATTTGGACTGAAAAAAAAGGTAAATTTGGAGCAGTAGTTGAAAAATAGTTAGGTTTTTCCAACGGTGGACAGCCGACCACCGTTGGAAATGTATACAAAAACACCATTTTCTTGAAAATGACTTCACACCAGGTGCCATAATTTTACAGGATGCTTGAGACTGTCATTTACCAACATCATAGGAAGGCATTTCGTAAAAACTTTGTAGTTTTATTTTTGGATGTTTGCAAATGTTGTATATTCCCTTTAAGTGAGAACATACTCAGGTTTACACAAAAGAAATATCTTATAGATCGCTTATATTACATTGTATTCAGAATTTCTATCAACAAGTAGACATCAGTAAATATTCAGATTGTAAAACTTAAATATACTTTTTGTGTAATTAAGAGTTCCTAAACAGAAGTACTCATTCAATGACCTTATTTAGAGATTGGTAGAAATACAGATAATCACAACTACCGAAGACATAAATTCATGATGAACATGTGATGCTTTATCATTTCAGTAAGTAAGTTTACACACTAAAGATCAAATAAAAATCACAACTAGAAACATAATATGAATCTCATGAATTGTTTCTTGTGATAGTTTTCAATGAATACGAGAGGTAAAGTGATATATTGCACAATGTTCGTCAGACCACACACAAAGCATATATACACACATGGAATGAGATTAAAAGTTAAAAGTGGATAATTCCAATCTATTCAACCTTAATGATTCCTCCATTGCCCACAAGCCCTGTCCTCTGGGGACACCCCAAACCACCACTCAGGCCCTGTCCCTCCATCCCACCAGATATGCAAAAGCAATTAATGATAACTGGAAAACCAGCAGAATTTGGAGAACTCAACGCTCCCTCTGTCAGCCCCCTTCCCAGTGACCCCACCTATGACAACCTACCCTGCCAAGCACAATCCATTTGCAAGCATCATAGTCCTCCTTTACTGTTTGCCGCAAGCCACTTGACAACCTCACTGAGCCCCTGGCCATCCTTAGCACTGATTTCCAGCACTGTGATTGGCTGCAGAGCTGTGTTTATCAAGTCATCAAGTCTAAGAAGGTACCTGAGCTCAGCAAGTGGCACACTTAAATGAAGGTCACTGGAGAAAAAGAAGAGCATCAGAAAACTCTTAAATTTCTGCTTCTAGTAATAACTTGTACATAAGAGTTATTGTAGTAATAGAAAAGACATTCCTGAGTCTCCTTTTAAAATTTCAGAGGACTTACACTTTATTGAGAAGGATAAGGACGTTGACCTTTTGCATCTTCTCTGATTGAAGAGTGGTCAGCAGCTGGATGCATGAAGCAGACACTTGGGTAGAATTGGACGCATCAATTACAAACTGCAATTCAGACGAATAAATAATACAACAAAATACAAATTAATACGCAATTTAAATTTATTTATTACAATAAAACCCAAATCATATAGAAGTGATCCTTTATTTCCAGGTAACACTGCAGTTACTGCAGTAGATGGTAATGAATTCTTAAGTAGCACGATGAAAAGTTACTCTTTCAGTTGATAGACACAGGAATAGTTGTCAACTTCAGTCAAATATCACTCTTTGAAATTCATTATCAGCTCATATTAGCAAAGTCTTGAATTTCTTACCATCAGGGCAGAGCAATCTGAGAAGTAATTGAACCAGATGGGTGCCATGGCTCCGCCTAGTTCCCTAATCGTCACCTCATTCCTCTTACTGACACTGACATTCACCAAATTGGTGCCAACCTATAAGTAAGAACGACATGTTTGGTAAAATAAGATTGTATTTCAGTTTTACAAGGAAATCACAAAAGACCAACAAATAGGTAATACATAAATACATAAAATATATGAATAAACAATACTTGCATTATTTGAATAAGAAATACAGAAAAATACTCCACTTACTGTCGGAATTGTTGATGGATTTTCCTCAGATTCAGTGAATGAACCTTTGCTGGAATAATGTGTAAATATGTCAAGGAGGAACAACGCAAAATATGTTACCACAAAAAAAATGAAAATACACACAACTTTTATGAATAATTTTGAATCTACATGTATGTTACTTGTTAGACATAGGAAATCTAATTTCTGAACCTTGATTTGTTTCTTTTAAATAAGCCAATAACAAAAAATGAAATTTAGTGGTAAATAATGGTTACGTCAATCATGTTTGTGTGGGAAAGAGAAAAAGAACAGAACAATCCGGTGTACAGACTTTTATTCAATCATTCACTTTTTGTGTCAATCTTTCTAGCCAAATTTTACCATGAAAACACTAGTTGAAAATGTGTGACTTCAATGAGAGTCCCAAAGTTAAGATAGTAAAAACGTGCAACACAAGAAAATAGAATGGCACATGAAACAACCAGTCCAACACCCCTTTAGTACTGCATATCAATCAACAGTGTCAAAGAAACATCTGGGTCTCTTTTTCTACACATTCTCTCCAGCTCCAGAGTCATGCCACCAGACTACTGAAGGGTCAATTTTTTTTAAAAAGTTGGACAGGTACCAGTTTATAGGCTTAGACTGCAAGTTGAAATCAGTTGGCTTCATCATGTTCATTTTCAGGTGGAATCTGTTGAAGAAAAATCGCCTTTAGCTTAACAACCTCAAACACGGCTGGTGAAATACTGAGGACCTTGTCTTTGCCTCATGAAAATTTTGGAGAATTTTGTCAGCTAAAGAGGCTAAAGTGGGCCTGATTTTGTTTTGCATGTTTTTATTTACTCAAGGTCTGTCATGTCTGTGAAAACACATAGTGACAATCACTGACATACATAACATAGTAGTCATACGATTACGACTCCTCACACTTTTTTCTACATGACAAAGGATATTCTGAAGACGTTTGAGCAGAAGAGTCTTTCCGACTCCGGTCATTCCAATCAGCAGACACATAATTTATCGCTATCAAGACAAACAATATGTAATTTTAGGATTAAACTCTATTACACGATAAAGGAATAGTACACCTTTTGCATGGGCAGCGCCATATTGGATTGCCGAAAAGAATTGTGGGAATCCTCCACTTCCTGTGCAGTGACCTTGATCTGACCTCGACAGTTATTGGAACTGTATTTAATCAGGACTGAATAGAAAACGTTAATTTTGATCGACGATGGGTTTCTCTTGATAGATCAAGATTCTTGGACATTGGATCTACTTGGTGTGATTTAAAAATAAGGACAGTAAATATCATGCTGAAATGTATCATCGTCGTCTGCATTATCATGACCTATTTTAGGGTCAATGACGTAATGTTTAGCTGATAACCATTTCAAAGGTCTTATGGTTTGATGTCGCGCGCGGGTACCAGTGTTCCATTGTAGATTACGTATGCAGCAAGTTTGCGTTGAGAACTGCGGCCTGTGCGGATTATCCTTTTTAAGGAGCATAGTTTATTTTGCCAGTCATTTAGAAGTCCAAATTATACTAGTGACGATGTTTTCATCTTCAGGAAAAGGCGGATTCGACAGAGCATTGGGTAAAAAATATGACAAAATGTCGTTATGAAAATACTCTTGGATTTTGTTTTTGTGATTTGTTTTTGTTCCGGAATCCGGGGGGGGGGGGGGGTCCTCATCGTTTTGTCGGTACAACTATAGAATGCAGGGCCACTTTACTCTACATCCGCGCCTCCGTACGGCTGCGTGGAGGCGTGGAACCGCAGTCGACCTAGCTACCTCTGAAAATCGATCGTGGAGTCGTGGAGCCGCAGAAAATTGCGCCCTCTATCGGTGCGCGTCTCTGCGACTCCGCGACTCCGCGCCTCCACCACTGAGAGACAGTGCCCCGTCGCCCTCCCCCCCCCTTCCTAATTTGCGCGCCCAATTAAAGCGACTCTGCGACTCCGCGACTCCGCGCCTCCGCGACTCCAGACAGTGCCCCGTCGCCCTCCCCCCTTCCTAATTGGCCCGCCCAATTAAAGTGACTCTGCGACTCCCCGACTCCGCGCCTCCGCGACTCCAGACAGTGCCCCGTCGCCCTCCCCCCCCTTCCTAATTGGCCCGCCCAATTAAAGTGACTCTGCGACTCCCCGACTCCGCGCCTCCGCGACTCCAGACAGTGCCCCGTCGCCCTCCCCCCCCCCTCCTAATTGGCCCGCCCAATTAAAGTGACTCTGCGACTCCCCGACTCCGCGCCTCCGCGACTCCAGACAGTGCCCCGTCGCCCTCCCCCCCCTTCCTAATTGGCCCGCCCAATTAAAGTGACTCTGCGACTCCCCGACTCCGCGCCTCCGCGACTCCAGACAGTGCCCCGTCGCCCTCCCCCCCCTTCCTAATTGGCCCGCCCAATTAAAGTGACTCTGCGACTCCCCGACTCCGCGCCTCCGCGACTCCAGACAGTGCCCCGTCGCCCTCCTCCCTTCCTAATTGGCCCGCCCATTTAAAATGGATATGGATGCTTCGTTCTCAAAAAGATTCCGCCGAGAATTGCGCCCTCTATCGGTACGCGTCTCTGCGACTCCGCGACTCCGCGCCTCCGCCACTCCAGTGCCCCGCGTCTCCGCGATTCTGCGACTCCAAGACTCCGCGCCTCCGCCGCTCCAGACAGTGCCCCCAACACATTTACAAGCACGCCCTCCCTTCCGATCCTTCATGAGAAGCTTTGAAGACAAGTGCAGTGCATTCCTTCGCTGTACTTAGCACTTTTTTGCAGGTTTGCATATCTATTACTCCTATTCCATCCACGCCTCCAGGCAAAATAAAAAACCTTGCTTCGGCGTGGCCCTGCATTCTATAGTTGCTCCGTTTTGTCTATTGCTTCTTAGTTATTTTCATGACGGTTTATAATGGGCTTAATTGGTAGTTACTATTTACTGCCAGGCAGTTTTTTTTATGGTCATGATCGCTTTATGTACAATAAGAATAAGGTGGTAATTATGCGCCATCTTGTCGACGGGTAATTTACACGCGTTGCTGTCAGGGCTGTGTACGTATCGTCAGTGGAAAACTTTGGCGCTTCCAAGTCATCATGTAGTCATTCCAAAATGCGCCCGCGACTAGCAACGCGTGTTCTTTTTGCCCCGTGAACAAGATGGCGCTACCAAGAAACACCTTATTGGACATATTTGAAGGGAAATGAAGAAGGGCCAATAACAAGTTGTTTTCCTGTTCCCATGGAGGAAGGAATTGTTCCTAATTTTAAGTGTGGGGGGGGGGGCTGTCATTATTAATTATTTTATCAATATTATAAACAGCAACAGAATCTGCTGGAACTTTAATTTCAATTTTGATTTCAGAAAAGGCCACAAGTCAGTTGTTGTTGGAGCCTGATTGGGACGCTACCCTGCAGATATGTGATTGTGTCAGACAGAAAGATGTCACGTAAGCTGTGTATTCAGATCAATTCATTGAATGTATTAAATATCAAAATAACTGAATAGAAGTTGTTTTGTTAATTAAAATCCAATACAATTGTGATAATTAATTAATTTCCCAATTTTTTGGTAAATTAAATCACAGAAAACGCTGCATATTTAGGAAGGTTTATGCTTGTGTAATGTTTTTTCTTCAATATAGTGGCAAGTATGTCATCAATGCTATTCGCAAGAAGCTGTTTGATAAAAACCCAAGGGTGACCCTGTATGCTCTTCAGGTAAGCAAACTCATCTCTTAGTCTTACATATATTATGCTCAGAGATCATTCTCTTATTAAAGCTACTTTTATTTTGGCCAATCCAAAACTTGACATGTTGTAAATACCAAACTGGGACCTTGAGTGCTGAAATTGAAAAACATGCAAACAAAATCTGGCCAACTTTAAACCCCCCCCCCTTTAGTCAATAAACTTCTCCAAAATTTTGATGAGGCAAAGACAAGGTCCTCAGTATTTCACCAGCCAAGTTGAGGTCTGAATTCAGTTTTTAATGGCGACCTTTCTTCAACAGTTTGCCCCTGAGAGTGAAGCCAAGTGATTTCAATTTGAAACCTAAGACTAGACTGGTACACATCTAATTTTTTGAAAAGATTGACCACTCAGTAGTCTGGTGGCATGACTGGAGAGAATGTGTAGAAATAGAGTTTGGTACCCGATGTTTCTTTTGACACAGTTGACTGATGCCGTACTAAAGGGGTGTTGGACTGGTTGTTTCATGTGCCAGTCTATTTTCTTGTATTACATATTTTCAGTTAAGTTTTGGGAATCTCATACCCAGTATTGAGAGTCCCAAATGTGAGTGGTAGAAATTTCGGACTATGTGAATACCATAAAATAGAAATACTGTAGTAATGATAAGAGAACATATATTTATGTTATCAGGTTCTGGAGTCATGTGTGAAGAACTGTGGGGCAACAGTTCATGAGGAGATTGCTTGCAAGCAGTTCATGGATGATATGAAGGAACTGACGAGGGTGAGCTATAATTCCAAACTTTGATAGTGAAAATAACATTTGAACTATGAACAACTGTGTGTCTCCACCAGCTGTCATGAAGGCTATACCCCCAGCTGATTCACTGTACGTTCCTTTTACAGTGTCTGACCAATTTGTGTGATAAATTTCTCTTGACAGTCCAGTAACGATGGCGTGAAGAACAAAGCGCTAGAGATGATCCAGGCTTGGGCTCATGCTTTCAGGAATGAATCCGGCCTCAAGATTGTGGTAGAAACTTTCAACCAGTTAAAGGGAGAAGGTAGGAAACAAAGTATCAGACTTTGAATTTTAATTGTGGATTGATCTTAGTGTCCAACAAAGTTTGACTTAAAGGTATGATCTCCTGCTTACTAGTTCTGATGTAAAGCCACTAAGACATCAGAACTAACCTAGTTAAAAAGCTACGCTTTTAAAATACTTGCTAAAAAGTCCATAAATGAAATGGTAACATAATAGTACACTTTAATACATCAGGATTTTAAATGTGCCTCAATTGATAGTTGCCATTTTTATTTCCATTTTTCAGGGAATACCTTTCCACCCCTGAGAGAGAGCGACGCAATGTTCATGGCAGAGAAGGCCCCAGAGTGGGTTGATGGCGACAGGTGTCACACCTGCCGCACTGAATTTGGAGTTGTACAGAGAAAGGTACGACAAGAAACCACATGTAATGAGGAAAGAATGCCAAGTAAACCATTTATATAGAATGTTGAATCATTCAACTTCATGAACGGGATAGGGCAAGGGAGGATGGCTGATTCATTGATGCAAGGTCTCATTTTGTATTACTAAATCCCTATTGCACTCCCAATTTTCTGGAAAATTGTACATCTTTGTTACAATGGCATCACATTTATGTCAATTTCACAGCATCACTGTCGTCACTGCGGCCAGCTCTTCTGCAGCAAATGTTCCTCCAAGCAGCTGCCTATCCCCAAGTTTGGGATTGAGAAAGCCGTCAGGGTGTGTGACCCTTGCTACAGCAAGCTGACCAGGTAAGAGTCATAATTAAGAATGTATGAACACTTGAAATTGTTAAACACAGAAAATATGTGTTGCTGCTGGAAAATTAAGAAATTGTTTGTTTAATTTTGGATAAGCCATTTTCACTATTTGTTTTTTCGTCAGCCGTACTGAGACAACCTCTGGTTCCGGGGACAAAGATTCCGATCTTCCCTCTGAGTATCTGAACAGTCCCTTAGCTCAGCAATCCCAGGCCCCACCGCAGCGTAACGAGAGAGAGTTACAGGAAGAAGAGGAGTTACAACTAGCCATGGCGCTGTCGCTGGACGCTGCAGAGAACAAGCACATCGTATGTTATGCCAAGACACTTGAGTTTTATGTGGCTACAGTGCATAGCTGTGCCATCTTTACTACCCATTTTATTTAAATGGCCTATTGTTGGTTCTTCGTTTGAGTCAAACAACACAATTTGAAACCAGAAATAATTTTCGGGACCCAGTCACATTTATCATTTTTTAAAAACTTTTTCTTTCATTTCAGATTAACAAGGATAAGAGTGGAAGTAGTGGACCCAGGTCCTCTCCTCCCCCAGCGGTGAGTAAGCCCCGCCCCCTTTAGTCCCTCATGATTACTTGTCCGTTCATTTCAGGCGACCAGGTTATTCAAAGACTAGGTGTTGAAGTTTTTGAGGTGTGGGTGTTGGTGAAGAGAAAAAAAACGAATTGGATAAACATGAATGATTGTGTTGACTGAATGAAATGTCCTTTTGTCCATATGCAGACGTCCTCCGCTCCAGTCATGGATCCAGAAGCAGACCCTGAGGTAAACGATTTTGTTCCACATTTGAACTGTTTCTTGATATTAACGTAAGTGTTAAGTGATTGCTTGAGCAAGAAACCCTTGGGTACATATTTCTTAATTGCTATACCAATAATTAATTCAAGTAAATCACAAACTAAAACCCGTTTTTTTTTATATTCTCAGCTTGCTCGTTATTTGAACCGCTCCTACTGGGAGCAGAAGCAAGAAGAGAACGTCAAAGCTTCGGCCACGCCCTCGGCGCCAGCCAACGCCCCTGAGCCTACACCAGCTACTGCCCCGCCCCTAGCTCAGTCTGTGTCTGCACAGCCTATGTATGCCACAAGTAAGGTGCAAGAGGTAGGATACCAGACCTTTTAGCAATACAACATTCTATTTGCAGTTGCACTGTTATAAATTCTAAGCATATAGTTGTTCAAATAGTTTTTTTTGCGAGTAGTATGTGGACTTAAAATGTTTCATTCTTAAGTGCAAAGAATGATCCCTGCCAAAAATGCCAAAAGATTTAGTCTTACGTTAAAAATTGCAAATTTGACATGAAGTGATGTGCAAGAAATTTTGTTTTCTCTGACAGGTTGCCCAAAACGGTGAGGTACCAGATGACATTGAGTTCTTGAGAGCATTGTCTACCAACATGGACGTCTTTGTCAATCGTATGAAGAGTGACTCGTCTCGTGGTCGTAGCATCGCTAGCGATACGTCAGTCCAGACATTGTTCCATACACTCACCCAGATGCATCCTCAGCTGTTGAACCTACTTCAAGACAAAGAAGACAAGAGAGGTATGACGTCAGGACAGGAACACTAGATGCCAAGAATTTCATTGTTGCTTAATCTGTTGCAATATGCCATTAGAAATGAGATCATTGATTGCAACAACCCTTGATTTGTTTGATTTCTTCAGCCAAGATGGAGAATCTTCAGGACAAGCTTGCTCAGATTCACGACGCTAGAGAAGCACTGGATGCATTGAGAGATGATCACAGAGAGAAGAAGAGACGTGAAGCAGAAGAAGCCGAGAGACAGAGACAGATCTTACTGGCTCAGAAACTGGAGATAATGAGACAGAAGAAACAGGTGGGTTGGTCTTCTGGTCTCAGCAAAAAGTCTGAGGTCTTCCAAATCCTCACATTTAGTTCCATTTTTTTAGACTCCACTTTGTTGCAGCAGGGCTGCTCTCTTAGCAACGACTCGTTTCAGGAAAGATTTATAGTCTGATGGGAAGGAATAGCAATAGCTGTAAACCTCTGTTACTCTTGTCCTTTCTATTCTGTATTTCACCAGGAGTACCTGCAATTCCAACAGCAGCAAGCTCTGCAGCGACTGCAGGAACATGAGAGAGAACTTCAGATGCGACACGAGCAACAGAAACAACAGCAACAGATGCGACAGATCCAGTACACAGCCTATGCAGGCATGCAGCTACCTCAAGGTGGTATGATGGCTCCCCCACCCCAAGGGATGATGTCACAACAGCAGGGGATGGTACCCCCACCCCAGGGGGCTATGATGCCACCTGGCCAGTATGCGCCACCTCCACAGGTTAGCAACTTTCCTTGCCTTTTAACAATTTTTGTTTTATTCAAGTTCTGGTTGATATGGAAAAGCCTTTCTGGATGTCTTCAATTCTTGTACTTGTTTTGTTTTTCTGCAGACATTCAGCCCGCCTTCTTCAATGCAAGGTTCCCCCGCCCACAGTGGTTACACCCCCCAACAGCAGGCATACTCTGCCCCACCCCCTGCCATGGAACCTCAATCCTCCATCCAACCCCCATCCACCACCCAACCTGGTTATAATCAGGCCTATCCACAACCGCAGCAATCATACCAACAAGTCCCCCAGCAAGTCCCCCAGCAAGTCCCCCAGCAAGCACCCCCGCAGGGTGGGGCTTACCCTATGGGGTACCATCAGCAACCCCCGTCCACCCAGCCGCACCCCTCACAGGGCCCGCCTAGTGGTACCTACTCACCCCTCTCCTCACTGGATTACCAAACCCAACCACAGCAGCAACAACCTCCCCAAGCTAACAATCCTTACAACATGCAAGGCATGGCATCCTCCTTACCCCCTACCCAGCAGTACGGAGCCCCCACCCAGGGGGGAATGTATCAACAGCCTGGGGTAGATATGCAGTATGGAGCAAACCAGGGACAACAACCTGTCACACAGGCCCAGACACAACCCCAGCAAAACCAACCCCAAGAAGCATCTCTCATATCCTTTGACTAGAACCCCAGACACACCAGCGGTGACAGAAAATGACTTAATATTCAGCAGTGTAGTCCAAACATTCTGACTAACAGTTGAATAAATTAGGATGTACATGTACACAGAAAATGAAAAGTAATTACTTTAAACTGATTCAGAGATGCGATACTTTTTCAGTGGTAGATTGGAATGTGCAGCCTCAAACGTTTAACGCTACATTCAATTTAATTATGAAAGCTATATCTGAATTCCAAATTCACCGGCATTGTCCAAAATGATCACGGCTAATCCTTTTATCACTGTCTTCTAATCTTGGGTGTTGACAAGGCAGTTCACTCGCATTGATTTTTTAGCAATTAACGGTGAAGTAATCTGTACCTATAACCAGTGCATTTATTGATAAATAAAGACTCTTCAAGCTCTTGAAAATTTCTCAAGTAAGTACATGTAGATCTTAATGAGGCCTGAAGTAGCTTTGTACAAGTATATCAGAAGTATGTCTACAAAGTCATGATTATTACATGTACATGTTTTGATTAATGTTTATAGCCCTCTATACAAAAAAAAGCTGGTACACGTAATACAGGAAAATCAATCAAAGTGAACATGATTGAACATTAATATCTTTGCGATTTCATCTCATCCAGAAGAGATGTTATATTCAGGACATGTGAAAGCAAACATCTTCAGCTCAGGTCCCTGAGGGACGTGTTCATATTCATCTCGGAGGGATGGGGCCCAAAATATCAATATCAGAACCAATTCACTTCAGCCAGTGGGATGCACATGTGAACAAGAATTGGCAGCTTGTTGTACACACTACCTGTAAGACGCGTGTACTGTATGCACATTAACGTCCTAAAAAATGAAAGGACAATAGTTTGCACATTCAAAAATGCTTATGTGAATCGGATACATTAGGAAAAGCAAATGAACCGTTGCATGTAGACCTGTAAATTGCTACAATTGTTAAGTGCTTGATGTATTTAAGCATTTTGTATCATTCAAAAGCATGTTTACATGGTGAATTTCTCAATTTTAATTTTTAAACTCTTTTTAATTTTGTTCCAAGTTCCAGTTTAACATTTAAATTTATTAGCTTTGAAGTCGCAAAGTGTAATGAACAGTCTTTAAAATGAAATAGAGTATTGTGATAAAGGTGTATTCTGAATCATTTTCCTTATATTCTGGACATTAATTATGTATGTTATTAATACATTGGTGTTTGTAAGGCGTGTGGATGTACACTGCTATTATGAATTTAACTAAAAAACTAAAGTATCACCCAAAAATCCTTATATTGATTTGAAGTAGTGGCCTGTTATTTGGGGGTTTTCCGTCGTTTTGCAATTAAACAATTATAAACCCAATTATTTAGAAATGTTTGCCAAAAAATAATTCAGAATGATTTAATTTTGTTTATGAAATACCACTTCCATTTCAAGATACAGTTAGACTTGATTTTTTTTTATTCAGCCTCTTTACAACCAACAGTGCACATCTCAAAAAGAAATCCCACTTTACAATCATGCATACAGATACATCGATAACTTAAGTATTTTAAGGCCGATTCCGTCTTAACCAAATTGTCATGCGTCGCAAATTTTGTGATATACGTTGTATTAGCAATATTTGCAATGTAATTAGAAGTTGACACAGTTTAACATCAGTGTATTTCACTCAAATGTCATAAAATAAAATTTGCTTCATTAGATATACACTTGCACATTTTCTACTTTGTAAATTTCTATCTTCACATACTTGTACTACCATTTTTTCTTCATTATACATGTAGCAGGACATTATGAAAGGCACAAAGTGAACATTTTTCACAGCTTTAAAATAATCACACCAACCTTTTTAATTATTTTTCCTGTTACATGAGAAGTTTAATATGCATGCAATAAGCATTTTGTAACAACTTGATATTGCACACTGAAATACTCAGTAAATTGAAGACTCTTAAAACGTGCTTGATTTTGTCACAAATACCCTAGAGATATTACAAAATAGAACTTTTCTTTGTTAAAAGCAGCAAATATATTCATGCCAGTAATACTTGGTGTGGCCATATATGTACTTACATTTATACAACTCTTATATCATTTTATGGTTTGATCATATTCCAATAATTCCAATGATGATTGCCAGAATGCATGAGAAAATAAATAACACTCGGCCTACTGCTATGGAGCAAGTCATGTTATCCAATGACATGGATAGATTTTTAAATGAATATTCAGTCTGACTCGATTATAAAACAATAGCCAATAATTATTTCTCCAAAGTTTCCTTTATTCATCAGGTGATTTGGAAAGCTTTTAATTGTACTTTCTCAAATAACTGATTAAAAAAAATCTCAAGTCTATAATAGCAATAAAAAGAAAGGAAGAATTTCTACAAAATGTAAGGAACATTAGGATTTTACTGAGACGCATTATAAAGCCAGACAAAATAATTCTCAAATTAAAATGTAATATACAACTGCAACTTTTTTAAGGTATCATTGTAAGCAAATTTCCTAGGACCACAAACTGCCATGGTAGACATGCCAAGACTTACACGGCACAAAGCCTAGATACAGACAGCACCATGATTATGTTTAGGAGTACATCACCTTGATTCTAGTAGCGCTAGCCAGTGGTGCAGCAAACCCAGCAGCCGTTGTGGGTTGCACAATCAACTCCAATGACCTAGCTTGATTTCCTGCGACCTTTGACACCAGCAGATGACAGATGCGGAACGTCTTAGCGTGGGCACGGCCAATGAAGATGGTATCGGTTTCCTTAATATCGCGGGATTGGTTGGGATCACGATGGACTCCTTGACAGTAGACATCAAAGTGAAGCGTATCCGGGGCGTAGTTCCAGCGAAGAGTTGCACAGAGGGACCAGAATGCATCACCCTTGGTGAAGATGGGTAGAGGTGGGTGCCAGGAAAGGTCAACGCACTCTAGGTCAGTGACCTGGGTCATTTGATCTCTCAGCGCGGAAGGGTCACAAATCTACAGGAAGTGAACAAGCACAAAATATTGATTGACATTTTACTATAAATTTTACCGAATTATAGACAAGATTATCGAAAAAACCAAACAAACACGTGCACTTCATATATTAATCAAGTTTATTTTGAGTTGCATACAAATATCCTGCACGCAACTGTCAAAATAGACACAAATTTGAATTGTTGAACGATTTTTCTCAAATTGTACTGACCTTTGACCTCCATCCCAAATTCACTAGGCCTTCACTAGACACATGACCAATCCACAAACCAACGTTGCCCTCGTTATGTCAAGTACTCATCAAGTTATCGTGCTCACAAGGGACACACACTGACACAGCAATAGGAAGGCCAAGACAAACACTATGCACGAGAACAAAAAGCAATTCAAGATAAATATGAATACCTTCAATTCTCCAAGTCTGAGACTGCAGGAAATCTTGTCTCCATCAGCTGTTTTAGGGAAGCACATCACACCCATCTCAATTACTTTACTATCGGCAGAGAAGCAACTTTCAGGTAGGAGAAAATGCCTGTTGCAAAACAAACAACACTCTTGACTTTAGTAAGCTTTTATCAAGTTAAGAATTTTTTATATCATACTCAACCAATATAAAACAAAAACAACAAGAGGGCACAACACTGGAACTGCAATTGAATGGTTTTAGGTTCAACTCCTGTTAATTACCTTGTCTTCCATCCACCTGATGCAGTACCTTGACTATCCATTCCTAACGCTGCATCCTGCATGGCTTTATGACTGCGGCCAATCAGCGGTCCGAAGGCCCGACACTGGTCAGTGATCCCAACAAGCTGGGGTAGCCTTGGGTCAAGGAGTTCAGACTCGTGAAGACCGTAGGCACTGACTGGGAGCTGACTCTCTTTACCGGCATCTGATGAAAATTGACAGACATAAATATCAACTGAACCAGCACCTGTGACCACTGAAACACCACACAGGTGTTCTACCAATAAGCATTCCAAAATGATTAAAATGGTTGAAATTCACAGACCTGCAGCTGTCCAGAGCAGAATCTTTTCCCTGCTGTTACTAAGTCTCAGGTAAACACATGCATCTACACCTTGCGATGGTTTGATGGAATAGGATAGGAGTAGTGGATGGGATACAGCCAGATTGGTGTCAAACACTCTGTAAAGAAAACAAACCAACAACAATCAATTCTAACTCTCTCAGCATTTTACTAGAATATTACTCTGCAACTCCAGGCATTGTCGCTGACGTATACATAGGGAATCAGATTGGCGCAGTGGTTACTTTCCTCGCCTTCCACTGCTTTTACCCAGGTTCGATTCCTGCCCGGACCACATGTGGATTGTGTTTTCAGTCCCTACCTGATAACGTGGGTTTCCCGAGAATATTCTTCTGGGGTTTTCCTCCCACCTCTAAAACTGTAATTTATTCTCATTGTCTCCTCTCTACATGTTTCTTCAGGTATGCTAGCTACAGTGCCTAGGGCGCTTTTGAGGAATCCTTGGTTTGTTTACCAGAAAGAAATAAAATAAATACCTGAAGCTTTGGACCATTCCTGCATTCAAGTAGCCGCTCAGCAACAGACTACCCCCTCCACTGTACCCATCCTCTGTACTATGAGCTATACGCTGTCCTCCATTGCTCTGTGCATGGTCAAACTGATGATTGTCATAGGTGGGTTGTATCTGCTGCGCGCTCAGGTTGCACCAAGCTTTATTCATCACAGCCTACAAATGAAGCAGAGTCAATGGAGTATTATGGATGCTGCCATACAAAGATCATTTTTTTTAAATGAATTGGTTATGTGAGTACAGATTCCATGGACAAACAAGAGGAAACGCTGCATTGTCCAACTCTTCTTCTGAACAAGTCTCCACCTTTAAAAATTGACAAAATTGAGAACTTTCTTTGCCTACCTGGCCATTTCTGAAGCCCATCTCTCCAAATCCTTGACAGAAGTTGGTGAAGAACGGCAACGATGCAATGCCATGGGTAGGTAGAAATTCATCCAGTAAACTCCAAAATCTGTTCACAAGTCAAACATAAATAATGTGATTTGAAAGTACACAGGAAATGCCATGAACATGAAAACGTAAGTAGTGAGAATGACAGATTTAACATGTTGGACTGAATTTTCATGTCAAAATGTTATTGTTGAATTCAGAGAAACTGCACTTGCTTTGGAATGGAATGCAAACTGTGTTATTACCTGCCAAAGGGCAGGGAAGAATCTTGCTAATATGGGGCACACAAAATTATACATCTATATGCAAGAATAAACACAGAAAATAAAAACATGTTTGGGAAATGTTTGAAATGCAATTAATGAATAAGTCTACAGGGCTTTTCTACGGCCTTTGGAAAGCAGTGTTTTTTTTTTTACTTAAATGGACTACCCTCGCAAAAGATTATAATAAAATAGAAATAAATACAATAAATTTAATAAATGTATATAATCTGTCATTATACCGAATGTCAATATGTTAATATGTCAGTCCGGAATAGTTGAGCTTCGGCATCATGACATCTTCTGACCTCTATATTTCCTGTTTCCCCTCATTTCCTGTTTGCATCATATCACGTACTTTCTCTTCCTGATCTGTCCAATCTATAGTAACCAAATATATACTAGTCAATAGTAACCAAATATATACTAGTTTACAAAGCCAGTGCTCATTGTCAGTTTTACCAAGATGCAATCGAGGGAATTGAAATCTTCGACTCACAAGCTTAATAGAGGCAAGCAACTTTTATTTGCTTATAAACAAAAAGTTCTTGCGGGAAACTTAACATGACTTTGTGTTAATGTGAAAATCTAATAAATGTCCTTACTTGGTTTGGTTTGTAACAAATTCCTTAGCACCATACTTTTCATACACCCAGCCTGGAGCAAATATAGCAGCTGACAGGTTGTTCTGTCGAATCACAGACATGGCCTAAAAAGAGAAAATATTATATTATAATAAAATATTATTCATTTATTAGATTTTCTTTCACATTGCATTTAAACTAAGTGAATTTAAAATACGGAAATCTTCAAGTTTTGATTATATAGCATACTTTGTTGGTGTTATAACCGCCTCCACCAAAGCAATTCCGTCCGAAGACATCCACGCCCACAAACACATCAAACTGTCGACTCCCTGCTGCTGTGGCGCTGCTTGCTAACTTGGCAGCATTCCAAGTATAGTTGAGAAAGATTCCATCGCATGCGTCAAAGAAAACCCTGACAAATAGAATCACGACAGACAGATACTTTCAGCTATTATAAAAGGAAAATACTGGATGCGCCCCCCCCAAAAAAAATAAATAAATAAAACACAAATTCACAAAATGTCTTATGGACAGGAATGACATAATGAACACAGTATTTCATGAGGCTTAATTTATACTCATGTTTACATTTTTGCCTGCCATGTCCTTGTTGGATTCAATAGAGGGTCACACTCCACAGAGGTCATTACTTACTCACCTGTTGAGGTCATTCAGCATGTCCTGCCATCGCAATGACCCATCTGTGATGACACTGTCATACCATATGACCTTTGACCCTGGAACATGTTCATGCATTTTGCTGGGCAGGTATCTCATGAATTCCACCAGCTGAGGCATGTGTTGCGGCTAATAACAAAACCAAAACAAAATACACTTCACAATGAAAATGCTGAGCTTTTGAAATCAAGTCTAAAATGTGAATTGCAGGGCATAACTGGGATCAATTTCACACAAGTTTAATGAGAAAATTTAACTCAAATACATAAACTACTCAAATTGGTCAGATTTTATAACCAAAAATGTCTGGGGTTTGGAACAACAGGCCAAAGGTGCTTAAAGAAAATTTGTAACAATCAGTCAGAGATATTGTTTTCTTAAAACTATTTCAAATGCATTTTCTTAAATCATGTAAGGAATTCATCTGGGATTTGAGAATTTAAATTAAGAAACTTTTGCTTTTGGAATGTTACAAAAATGTAACATAAATGTGGAAATAGTAAGAAAAAGATGATTAATTTTTTTTTTACATTTTTACATGTGCGCTACATTTGGTGTCAATATCTTTCTTTTTAAGACCATGATTTTGTGAGTGTCAGTGATAAAACACTTTTCAGAAAAACACAATCGTATTACAAACCAGAATCTTGTTTTCAATGTTGATCAGCCATCCATCAAACTTGTAGTATTTGGCGATGGCTACCAGTTTGTCAGCCAGTGCCTTGTAGGAGGCTTCTGAGGCAAAGGCCTGCGTACACCGTTGGAAACCATCGTTCCATTCAGTGATCACGGTACCTGGGTGGTAAAGAATCATGGATAGGACGAGACAATATCAAGCATTGTATCCTGCTGGCTTCTGAGCTCTGTTAAAAAATAGTTGGGTCCTGCGAAATATTCCCACTTGACAAAATGTTCGTAATGATTTACCTAGCATTGGTACTCCGTTCTTATGAGCTGCATTGGTCCATCCAGGGGGTGGGATGGTGACGAAATAATGACTGAAATACATGAACATGTCCAGGTACTGCCAATGGTAATAGCGATAGCAGTCAGTCTTAGGAACGCCTTGCACAAACCTGCAAAGAAAATGCAGTGGAGAAGACCAAGTTGCTGAAATGTAGAATGATGCATTCACACAATCACCACAACGTCACTGCCAATCAGCCACTTTTAATATGATTTTTCACACATCCTAGGGAGTTAAGAAATAGGCTTACTGCATAAAAAAATTATTTGTTACAATTATAATTATACTGACTATAATATTAAAAGGGTCAATGCGAAGAAATTTCTGTTGGAACACATTTGTGCAACTTTCTACTCCTCTTAAATGCATGAAAACTATTTAACACCACTTTTTGGTTAATTTTATTGAAATTCATTTTCCATACTTTTCTGGACAACTGAGGGCACTGTTGTCATGATGTCATTTCAGGAAGACACTGTTCAGTTTAGGGGTTTTCTGTTCAAATTGTGAACCCAAAATTTGCTCATTTAAAACATTTGTGAGAAAGGGTTGCTCATTGGCTTACTGCCATATGCTTACATAATGAATCACCAAGGAAAAGAAAATCTATGACAGCAACTTTTGTGCTAATAGCTGTAACATTGTTGTTTCTGCCCAGAATGATATCACGTTTTGCTCATAAATATATAATTTGTATTTTGCATAAAAAACAAAAAACACCAAAATACCCTTCAGAATAGCAAAATGAAAATTGGAAATGAGATTAGATAGGACACAGAGGTGCATTTTTAAGGATAGCATTAAAAACATTACATTGTTTGGCCTTTAAGAACTTTGAATTCTACACAATTTCAATGTTTATATATGTACTTACCTGTCATCTACATAACCTCCCATCATATCATGACACACCAACGTCCGGGGGCGGGGTTCACTAGGCTCCGCCCTCCCAGCCAATTCAGCAATCGGAACGTTGAATTCATCTCCCTCTGGTTTCCAAGTCAGAACATCCTCCATGGTTTTGAGGGGTTGACATATCGGCTCTGATGTGATTGGCTCGTACTTTCCCTCTAAATCACATAAAAAGATAAACATGATTGATAATTACATGAAAATAATAAGACAATGTCACTTTATATCAGAGATTCCGTCCTTGGGAATTCCGTGTACAGAGGTGAACAGGGAACCACTATAGCCGGACTGCGTCTGGCTGTACAGTACTATCGCAAGCTCTGTAGTACGGCCAGACCACTAATGCTTCCCTAAACGCTGAACTGTCAATGGCTATGATGTAGCGATTTTGCTACCGATTCTGATCGAGATTATCTTCTCATCTAGGACAGAAATTTCCAAAGTTAAGGTTTACAGTCGTAGACGAACCCATACCTTTTCGAAAAAACGTTCTTTTATCTAAAATGTTCATCCAACTGGCCAAATGATGACTTTCAGTCATCATCTCCCACAAATATCGTCCTGAAAATGTTCCTCCATGCGATTTCAAAATGGCGGCCGCGTTGTAATGTATGCATTATGCGGGCACACTTGGGCAATATCATGAATATGCATTTAGTTCATGACGTTTGTCAGGCGTGCGGGGCGGCTGGCCAAACGAAACACGAGTTCATGAACTGATAATGCATATTCATAATCTTGAGTCTGGCCGTACTACAGAGCTTGCGATAGTACTGTACGGCCAGACGCAGTCGGGCTAGGAACCACTACTTCTAAGGGTGTTATTCTTGCACTCAGTACTTTGACCACATTTTTTACTGAATAAACTAAATCCTACACAGTTTTGGACTCGTTAATAAAAATGTTATTAAAATAATACACATTTGTTTGAATATGAAACAAATGAATTGCTATTAATCTAGGCAAAAAAAACTGCATGCAAAAAGGCAAACAAAACTGCTTCCAAAATGTTAATAATCATATCATAATTAAGAATTTGAAGTAAAATAAATTAAATCCAGAAAGGTTTCATATCTTGCAGGCAGTGGCAGGTGGAGAAAGGAACTTGGAATTAAGTGAACATGGTGAACGACTGAAAATCATGCAACACACATGACACAATATACACCCAAATATCGAATGTCAGACAAGTCGACCGTTGAGACAACTCGACTCGGGACAAGTCGACCGTTGAGACTACTCGACCGTTGAGACAGGTCGACCGTTGAGACAACTCGACTCGGGACAGCTCGACCGTTGAGACTGCTCGCGGCCGGTGCACGTGGGCGCACAGGCCCGGCACAAACGATGTCACCGTGCACGGTACGGACAAGTTGACCGGCAAATGGGCGTACAGGCTAGGCCCGGCAAAAAGACGAACGGTGTGCACAGACAATCACGCTGCGCTATATCGGGTCTGTTTTATGCAACAACAAAAAACCTCATATGTCATTCATGTCATTACACTCAACGGTCGACTTGTCTTTCCATTTATCGCACATACGGTCGAGTTGTCTCAACGGTCGAGTTGTCTCAACGGTCGAGTTGTCTCAACGGTCGACTTGACCCGAGTCGAGTTGTCTCAACGGTCGACTTGTCTGACCCCCCAAATATCGTACATAATCAAACTCTTACCAAGTTGCAGAGGTGTTTCCTCAACTTTCACTTTGGTCTGGAATTCCGTAATAATCGCTTGGAGTTCATCCGATGCCATTGCAGATGTTTGGAGAGGATGTTTTTCAAGTCCAAATATCGTCCAGGGTTTGTCTCCAAGGACGCCTGCTAAAAATGCTTTCAGGACTTTAAATTAGTCTGGTTTCCACTTCTACACACCGTTTGTAAATAGTTGTAAGACGTTTAGGTATAATTCCAGATGTGTCAGCAGAGGGCGCTATTCAACTTTAATGGATGAAATTAATCGCCGTTCTTTTGAGCCCCGCCCAATGACGTTTTGACCAATCACAGCCGTGACTGATGTCCGACATGCGTGCGCGCACACGGCTGGGGGGGGGGGGGGGGTAAACATGCAGATTGGCATTGGGATGTCATAGATATGACCAAGCAGAGATAGATGACTTGAATGTAAATTTGTTCACGTTAAGAAAGTAAAATATTTCTAATTGTCACATTTATTCTGAGGCAGATAAGTTTCTTCATCTTATAATTCTTTATTGATATGAAAGTGCTGGAGGATTTAACTTGTACAACTTTGACAATAAGAATGATGCTTTATCCAACATTTGTATGAAAAATGTGCAGTTGTGATGCTTTAATTCAAGATAACAGAGTGGGATGTACATTATGTAAGTTGAAAAGACTTACAGCCACAATTTGAAAGCAGTCATTTCTAAGCAAATAATGCGCTGCACGCAAAGCTTAAGGGGTACACCCTTTCTGGAATTCCCTTTTCAGTTCAAATAAATCAATAATTCCAGCAAATCAAACATTTATGAACTTTAAAGCAAATATAAACTGGCAAAATAACAAAACTCCTTCATTTAAACAATGAAAACTTTGGTGATGAATCAATTATATTCAAACGTGCAATTCCTAATGCAATTGTAGAACGCAAGACCTAAATTTGGGCTTAAAAGCCCTTTTTTTTCCAATTTGAAGGTACAATTAATCTTTGTTCTGGTATGTTGTCATCTTATCAAATCATTGTGTGTACAGTCATTAAAAGTTTTGGACTCTCATTTTCAGGAAAGAAAATTGCATAGAATAATGTAAATAAACTCCGTGCCGGTACTCAAATTCTGATAGTCATTGTCACAAATCATGTAAAAGAAAGAAGATAAGACAATGCCTCTCCACTGTGACTATCTGTCAACATTCATCACTGAATACTTTGCATTTTATACACATCAAAACAAACACAGCAATCTTTGTAAATTAAACTAATGAACGTCTAAATTGCACATAACTAGAATACAAAAAATGCAATCTTGTACATTATTGCTTCATTAAAGATTTGCATAAAGTGTTTGCCCACACTCGACTTAATTTACAGTGGGCATAAAATACTCAATCACTGGTAATGTACCAAATAGTACCATCTTATTCATTTCAGCTGATTCTTGTCAAATCTATATCAATAATCAAATACTGTCAATCAAGACAAACAGTTTTATAATTTCACTGTCTAAGAAGTAACATTTCAAAGTCAAATGCTGACTTTGAAAGTAATCAAGTTTCTTTCATGTTTTTCCATGAACTTGAAATTTAATTACTTAAAGCTTACTTAAGGCAACTGATTTGTCTGCAAAACAGTTTTGCTGTGAAAAAGTGTCGACCCAAACTCTGCTTACCAAAAACCCTTTTATTTTCTGACATCCGTAGTCCTGCGAGGAGCTTTCTTAGCAGGATTAGCAATGGGATATAGCGACCTGCGCACACCTTTAGTCTTAACTGTCACTGGTGACCGTGTCTTGGTTGATTTCACTCCTTGTGTAGCATTGCCTGGTGCCCTCTGAGCTGTGACTTTTGCCCTACTGAGGTCATGGGTCAACTTCTTTGAGTCTTTGGACTTTGGTGGATCTTGGCCGATGACGATACCGTACTTGGAGGGTCTGTTAAAGTGAAATTACATAGCGTATCACTTCTACTCTACATCAAAAATGTGACTTATCGATACAAAATTAACAAAGTAAATGAAGTGGATGGAACTTTTAAATGGTGGGAAAACATTGTGAAGCACCCCAAAAAAATTGAAACTGACACAGATCCGAACCTGGGTTTGACTGGTATCCACCTACCTGTATGTGTTTGTACTTGCTGGCCTGGCAGGGGACCGTTGACTGACCAATGGTTTCAAGATTCTATGGAAGTAAATCAAAGATAAAGATTACTACCAACGTACGTCTTTCTTACTCTCTATCTTTGTTGCTTCAGTATGTCCATGCTTTTTGGATACAAAACTCTCTAAAATTAAATTACGAAAAGATACAAATAGTTTTCTTGTGCCCCAACTTCCAACAACAATATATTGATAAGCAAGCCCTCTCATAGATTGATTTTTGATGATGGTGTCCTGAATTGGCAAAGATGAAATCGGTTTGCAAACGCAGGTTGTTCTTAAGTAGCAGCACTAATGAAAGGATGGAGAAGCTTCATGACAGGGTAGTCTACTACCTACCTGCCCTCAGCAGCACTGGCTGGTCTGCCCCTGGAGGACAAACCTCTGCCTTTACTCGCTGATTTGAAATCTCCAAAGATTCTGGCTTCTGCCTCCTTGGCTTTCTTCTTTCTCTCTAAGGCTTTGACAGTGGCTGCTGATAACGGTTTGGCTGGTACTCGGTCTGGCTCTGAGGTTACCTGAAATTTCATAATCAATTCACTCAATGATTCAGTATTCACTTTATGACCACTCATTTGTTTGAAGTGCCTGCCAACAGTCCAGAAACTAATCACCCAAACCACAATTAAAAGACATTAATGAGGTACCATACTCAGCGGACGACTAACGAATTCAGGTGCAAGTGCATTTAGCCCAATTGCAAACATTATAAGTGCGTGAGTCTGGACTGCAGGTAAGCTGGTAATACCTACATCTTCTTATTTTTGTTACTGAAGTGATCGATAAAACTACCAGCATACTATCACAGTGCCCTCTTGTGGTGGACTTGTGTCAAGGCTGATACCTTTGTGGTCTGTCCTCCCTCTGTACTCAATCTCTTATTCCTCTCAAGTAGACTCATTCTCTCATCGATGGGCAGAGTAAAGAAGATGTCATACAGATCATACTGGGCAGCTCGGACCTGAAAAACAGAACGGTAAAAAAGCCCATGAAAAACCATACTGAAACAAAACCCTTTATTCTCTGAATGATCCCTGATTACAGTTTCCAAGTTTGCAGCACTGGTAATTACTAACAAAGCTAATTATTAGTTATTTTCATAGCCTCAAACATTTTTTTTTTAAATGTCCTGTTAGGAATTTGTCTTACCTGGGCAAGAACACGTTCTGCCAGCATCATGTCTTGCATGGACATGCCGCCTTTTTTGATGGGAGTTTCTGAGATGAACTTGTCAGCAAAAGCTACTGTATCCTGTTCAATGGTACAGACAAAAAATCCAACCATAAATATCAAAACATGGTTTGGAATAAAATTCAAGCTTTCAATTTGTATTTTTAAATGTCAAAATGGTCCTCTCATTTCTGGGAATTTTGGTACCAAAACTCCTGAGGCATCCATGGAAAAAAGTCACTGTCAATGAAAGAATATACAGTTGCACTGAAAATTGGGGATCAAAAATACGACTGAAAGGGCCCATCAAAGTGGGTCTTAGTCTTACTTTGATGGTTTTGATGATTGACTGTACTCGATGCGTCTTGAAGATTCGTCTGGTCAAGTATCCTTTGGCAACAGCGGAGATTTTGTCAAATTTCTTCTTCATTGTTGGTGAATTGATCTGTTGAAACAAAACAGTATGATCCATTCTTACATAAAGGTACCCATGTTGACATCAGATGTGATCTCCTCACAAGAGCCAGTGAATGACACACTATGTGTGTACACTAGTTCGTGTGCGTATTGCACTGAGTATGCTTTTACAGCACGCAAATACATTTTCATCTTAATGGGCACAAACTCTGAGCATCTTTGCAGAGGTGATATTGCACTCAGGTGTAATAGTGCTACAGTCAACACAGTATGTCTGAAAGACAAGGGCTTACCAAAAAAAGATAGGGGAAGCAGTTATAAATGTTGGAGAAAATGGGGGCCCTGGCCGTGCCTCTTTTGTTACATCCTCTGTTTTATTGGTTTGACTAATTTACCTTGTTGTGAAGATTGATTCTTACTGGAGTAGCCACATTCTCTCCCACACCAGGTGATCTGGCAAGTTTGCTGGTATCCCCTCCTAAGTAGAATGGTTCAGCCTGCCCTCCACTGCCCACCTTGCTGGTAGACTTGACTTCAGGAGAGACCATTGTGAGAGATGAGGGACTGGTGTGTTTTGAGGGGACATCTGGTGATACATGCTGTGAGGACTTTGCTGATGTGGGTGTTGACTCTTTTGAACCAAAGCTTGCTGTAGATGTTATGGAAACTGTTGAAAAGAGACAGAAGTTAATTGCAAATATGTTGGCATTTTTATTTCAGATTGTTGATGAAAGCAGCTGCCATTGGAGCGGCTCCGTGAACTTGAGACCATGATGTTGTTCCATTACTTACCCTTTCCTTGAGACTCTACCAAGACTTCAGTTCTCCCAGCTACACCCTCCCTGCTTGCTGCCCTATCCTCCTCCCTACTGGTTGCCTGATCCTGTTGCTGCTGCTGTTGCTTCTGTTGGAAGCGTTGCTCTAGCTGGGCCATCTCTTGCTGTAGTGTCATCTGTGCTCGCTGTTGCTCCATCAGCAGTTGCTGCAGTTGTTCTCGCTGCTGCTGTTCCAGATGTAGTCTCATTTCCTCGAAGTACTGCAGTTGCTGCTGCCAGACATTCTCCTCTGAAAGTTCTGAATTAGAAAAACAATAAAGTCATCTTTCAGTGTTCACAAACATAAAGTGGTGTTTTGTTTGCTTTCAATTGCAAGATAAATGTTGTTTGCACCACAAAATCTAATATATTGACAGCACTATGCATTGACAAATCTGCTACTTGATTATGCATCAGATTTGTCACTCTGTGGAGCATCAAGCATACCAAACTCATCAGTTCATAATGCAACCAACAAAAGTCACCGCTTTGTCATTGGTATCAGTATTAAGATGAATAATTTGTACCTTCTGTTAGATCAATCTTTTGACCTCCAGATCCAGTAACCCTGTCAACCTCAGCCTGTTTGGACTTGCCATTGATCTCGATCTCACTATCCTTTGTAAGTTCAAGACTTCTCCTGGCTGATGGTCCACCATCTTCACTTCCAACATTGACACGTGGTGCCTCGTTCCTAGCCTGGGCATTCAGCAGTGCTGGGGAGGGGTGATCCAGGGTGTACGAGTTCCGCCGGACACGCTTCTCTGGAGAAATGAATTCATTTTCGCTGCCTGCACTGTCTGGAGAGGCTTTGATAGTTTTGGTGACAGAAGTGGGATTACCTCCATGGCTGTCTTCCTGACCTACCGGGGTCCCTCTAGGAGCCTCTGGGTGAACCTGCAAGTCTTCATAGGTAGGCAGAGGGGTCTCAATAAGTGTATTCCAAGGATCATCAACATCTTGAAGGGTGGATGCAGCACTAACTGTTCTGAGACTTGATGGCAAAGTACATGACAGACCCGCAGTGTTGGTCAGTAAGGTTGAACTGGTGGAGATGAACATGGATGACTCGTCATCCTTCGGAGATGCTACTTTGCTAGGATTTTTCACTGACAGATTATTTCCAATTAGTTCTGATGGTTTTTCAATCATGATGGGGCTTGGGTTGTCCAGCGGGGTAGAGGAGGGAGCTGCTGAGACGTCAGAGAAGAAATGAGAGGAACCTGCAGGCATTGGCAAAGAGGAGTATTCCCCAAGAAGGCTCAGGTAAGTCTCTCTTTCTCCAAAAGGGTCACAGTCATCATCATCATCTTGGTTAGACCCTGTCAGACTTGGCATTAGGTGGAACCTTGACAATGGCGAATTTTCATCTTCGAATCTTTCCTCTGATGCCGGTATTTCCCTGCTTTCTTGGTTCCAAGAGCAGGCTAACTTTACTCCTGCTGTTGATCCCAAAGAAGTGGAACTTCCAACCATGACATTCTTTGGATGTTGAAAGTTGGTCTCATCTTTGTCAGTTTTGGGTGGAGTAGTCCCTGTGATTCTGCCAGCAGGATTTAAGGAACTTGAGTCTGATTGGTGAATGTTTCTTCCAGGAACAGACAAATTGCTAATGGAAGAAACCGCAGCATCTTCTGTGAAAGAATGATTACACAGTTTTTCTTCAAGGGTAAGTGTCCTGTCTTGTGTCATATCAACTGGGGTGTGGCTGGTATCTTCCCGATCTTTAGGACTGAAGTCGGAAGCTGCAACAACAGTCTGGTTGAGTAGACTTGCATCGCTGCTGCTACTAGTGGATCCTTGTGCACTAGAAATACCTCCAGCAGGGTTCGCAACTAGTTGAGGTGCTTTCGTACCCAGACCCGACAGTGATGCTCCTTGATCTCGATAGATGGTGTGGTCGACGGTCTCAGTATCTGTGTTTGTTGATTCGTCTGGAGTTGGTGGGCAATCTGCCAGATTCGGGGATGCAGTTTCCTCTGGCTCCAGTGAGATGGGTTGGTCATCTACTTGGCTGGCTTGACTCGATGATCTCCTCTCCTGTAAAGAATTTGTGAAATAAATTAGCAATTTCATGTAAAAGAATCACCTCTATCACCCACGTAAAAAAGTGGGTCTCATTGCTAAATATCTACTGTTTGTTATACCTAATTGAGCCACTAAACAAAGCTACACTCCAAGTCTCACCTCTATTCCATTGACGATACCTTGAACCTTCTCCAACAACTTGAGCCTCCTCTGATTGGCCAGTTTCTGCTCTATCTGGACCGCCTCATGTCTCAGTTCTCTCATCTCTAGACGCTTTTGTCTTGTCATCTGACAATGATAAAAGCAGAGAAACATTTTGGAGAGAGTTCAGTGCAACTTGCCTTTTAACTGCAAACAGCAACAAAGTCAACTTAAGTTGCAACTACACTTTGGAACTACACAAACACAAATGTATCATTTTTTTGATGACAGGAATGTTTTCTTTTTCTACAAAAACAATGAACATGAATGTTCTTGTTCATTGTTGGGCTTTAACATTTTAATTAAAATTGCAACCACACATTTCTGTTTTTCTTATTTTGACCCCTGCCTTTTTACTTCTGGTTTAGTAAAGTGTTTGCGCTACTGGTACAAGTGGTAGGTGGTAGGGCTAAAACTGAGGCATATCATTGTTTGACTTACCACAGGTGGTGGGATTGGTTTTCCATTCATCTTGATTAGTGACTCAAATGCTGGCGTATTATCACCAGAGTTGCCATCTTGCCTGCTGTGTTCATCCAATTCCAAGATATGAAATGAATACAGCCGCTGCTCAATGTTGGCTAATATCTCCTCCATCATGAATTATTCATCACCTGAGTATGAAGGGTCATACATCTTATTTACTCCATCAAATAAATCACAACAGGAACGTCGTTAGTAATTTTTCCCAGCAATCACCTACGTAAATCATCAGATTCAGAAAGCGATAACATATTGTAAAAACTCAAATTTAGCATGTTTAGCAGGGAAAATATTGATGCATTTGGTGAGAAAACACTTAGAATTTTTCAAAGTGGTCTCATATAGGGTTTGTATACAGGGTCACGGTTTCAAGTTACCTCTATATCGTATGTGGAATTCTTTTGAATCGGATGACCAGCGCCCTCACACATTTTCTGATGCAGCAACACTGCATTGCACCGACCATGCTGACGGTGCATGTCCGGAAACTAGGCAACATCTTTTTTCGGTTTAATATCTCTTTTCGACATAAATGTAAATTTTAAATCTAATTATTAGATTGTATTTGAGTAGATTATATTATAAACTAAACATATTTCTTCATCGATGGCACTAACCGTTAATAAATAGAACTTTACAACTCTGCAATAGTGTCGTCGGCTCACATTTGTCGCTCGCGCTGTTTTGGAATTCGACGGAACACTATTTTGTATCAAGTTATTTGATTGGTGTAAAATACCACGGCAGCTCCGCTGTTGCTGGTCGATTTAGCCAATAGAATCTTGTCTTATGAATAGCTTAAGGCCCTGTGATGTGCCGGTCACAAAATTAAACTTGTAAAAGTCGCTCCTTAATTTTTTCCCCTCCCCAAACTTGATAAGTGTGGGCGTGGTTTCAGGGGAGGACTGGTGGTTGAGGTGGGCATTTCGTGTCAAGGATTTTTTGTAAGTAACATTAATATATAACACACTCACTCAAACTCACTAAAAAATGTTCCAGGCACATTGGTGAACTGAGTGGTGTGAAAAGGTGTGGGGGGGGGGGGGGGGGGGTCGGGAGGTTAGAAAAGAATGGTGGGGGGGGGGATGCTCGGACCTTAGCAACACCAGCACTTGTGACTCAGTCCAGAAATTGAGGGGACACAAAAACATAATTTTTAGTATTAAAATCATGCTAAGCCCCTCACCCCCCCCCTTTCCCTCAATATTGCCCGCCCTTAGAAGATCTCCCCAAACCAACTTTTCACAAGTTGAAACCACGAGCTGAAATAGAGCAATAAGTCGCACAAATGTGAAGGGTAAAACTGTCTCACAACAAAATAGTCAAATTGAAAATGATGTTAATTGCTAATGACTAGTTCTTTTTATTTTTCCCAGGTTATAACTTTGGTAAGCAATATTGTTTGGCTTTAGATAGACATTTAACATGGAATAAAATATCACATTTTAAATTCATTGAAAAATTTAATATGGAATGTTTAAAAGACTCTCCAAACATTCAATGTTTAGAACCAATTTATTTTACATTGAATAAACACCTCAATATGAAATGTTGCAAAACACTCTCCCAACAATAAAAGTTCAAAATCTATTTATTAAACAATAAAATCTGTGAGATGTATTAAAGCTTTGTGTACATAGGACATAATACTGCATACCAAGTAGAATAAATAAGTATGTTGAAACTGTTTTCCAATGGAAAAGTAAGGTAGCACTTTAAGTTCAAAATGTTTTCCGAATAACTTAAAGGGAAAATACAACATTTGCAAACATCAAAAAATAAAACTACCAAATCATTTTGAAATACCTTGCTGGACTGTTAGTGAATGACAGTGAAAAGCATCCTGTAAAATCATGGCACCTGGTATACTGTCATTTTCAAGAAAAGTGGTATTTTTGTATCAATTTCCAACGCTGATCGGCCGATCAGCATTGGAAAAAACTGGCTTTTTTTCAAATACTGGCCCCAATTGACCATCGCACTTGTTTGCAAACGATTACACACCTATGAACGGGTACAAAGCAGCTAGACTGGTTCCCTGACCTTACAATTCCCCAATGTATGTAAACTGCTCTGTTTCTTCTTAAATGGAGTCAGGGAACCAGACTACAGGAAAATGATTGTTTTTCTTGGTTTTTATAGCATTTTTGAACCCAAAACCTCAAAAAAGTCAGTGTAACTATATTTGCTATATATTTCCAACCCCCCAATTCCATCCATTTCTGAAAATTACAGCAAAAGCAAATGATGTATATTCCCTTTAATAAATTAATATTTTTTTTTTTGCATTGAGCTTAAACAAAATCTACATGTACATTCATATTTGATGCATTATCTATTAAAAAGGAGAGTAAAGATGCATAACTTAGAAAAAAAGGGCAAGATTCTTAAGAGGATTTCCATTATACTGCCAAGTCAGCAGACACAAACTGTATTTCAAATTTATTATATCAGGACTATTTCAAACCTGAGGTTCATGTTTATCTTTGGTTTCCGCTCCCTCTTGAGAAAATTTAGAAGTTTTTAATTTTTTGGGGGAGTCCAAACCAAATAAAAATACTCTAAACTTTGGCCTCACCAAAATGATAGATGGAGATGACTCAAGAATATCAACGAGTATTGAGGTAGTCGTTTAATTGTATGTTTGTGGCATTTGAAGAAAAAAAAAAGATTTTTTTCCACCCATCCACACTATTTTGTTTTCAAATATAATAGGAAAACACACACAAATTTTCCATAACCTAATAAAAAATATCGATATCAACAGAGCTTACAAAAGTACAGTGCATTGTATTGGAAGATCACACACACACACTAGCACGTTTGTTGATGGTGTAAATCGAGGATTTTCTTTTGTTCCTCTTCCCTTTTCCTTTGTTTGTAACTTTTTTGCAACGGCTCTCATTGGTTTTGTACATGTTTTCCAACCGAGGAGTCCTCGATTTGGTTCCTGTCCTCGATTCATCGATAATGTTGCACGTGTGTGTCCTCGATTTATACCATAAACAAACACATGTAACACTTGTCTTCCTTTGGATAACTATTATATACAATAAGAGAAGAACAGAGAAATCCTATCAATAATATCATTAATTTGCATTGCATAATCTCACCACACTCACTCTAAACCCACCATAAAGCATAAACCCAGGATGTGTTATAAGATATCAGTCATTTGGATGCTTTAATTAAGCAAATATCATCTCAAGAGAACCCATTTGTCCAACTCCATGAAGGACAAGTTTGTCGGCGTACACCAGAATGGTGCCAAAGCCATTACTGCCGGGTGGAACCTCCACTATACCAGGCAAGGTAACAAAGTGGATACCAGACGACGCATCAATGGTGTGTGCATAGTTGTGGGTATGGCCGGCAAATGCAGCAACAACACAGGGAAAGGCTCGCAACATCTTGTCAACCTTTGGATAATCCCACAACAGACATGTGTGATCTCCATTGACTGGGTAGATTGAAACATGCCCTAGGAAACAAAAATACAAAGAAATAAATGCACATTTCATACAATTAGATAATGTACAATGTGTCAACTTCAAACTGAAAACGATTAATGCAATATCAATCTGGCATCAACATATCAACTCGAATGTAAACCTATTTGACTTCATTACCTCCAAGTTTTCGGTTTGTCTCAACTACAAACATACCACATTATCCCACAATAAATGTCTTGACACCACGTTGTGCCACAAGTTAATAGCAAAAGGTCATCTGGCACATTGCTACAGATCTATGCACTACTATTGTACCATTACAGTGCTGAGGAAAAATCTGTCGAATTTAATTTCCAGAATGCACTAAACTTTTCATTTGAGGGAGATGATGCAATTCAAAGTTCATTTTGTTATTTAAGAGTAAAACACAGCACCAGAAGTGCATTGTCTTACCAAACAAGATGACTTTTTCTTTAGTGGAGCATGCTCCTTGCAGTACATCTTCAAGCCATTCCAACTGCTTCTCTCCAAGCCCTCCATTATAAGCCAGAAATCGCTTTTCGGAGACTTTCAACCCAGCAGGAGATTCCAGATCATCGTTCTTGTTGACTGTACGTACACGATGCAGTGACTGCTGATTAATGGGGCACTTTTCCACATGACCAATGATGCTTTCATTGAATGTGTCTAAGACCACAAACCGAAATCCTGGAGCTGGGCTGAAATGGTAATATGAAGCCAACCCCTCTGCACTGAATTCATTGGGCTGGATCAAGTCAGGAAAACACTCACACTTGGAATCTCTTGGAGTAGTCTCAAACTGAACTCCTGAGAAAAGCCTACTGTTCATTATCTCAACTCGATTGAAATTGTAGAACTCATGGTTACCGAGTGCATGATGTACGGTACATGGAAGCCTATCAAACTGGTTCAAGATTACCCTGAGACTGCGCAGTGATTGTGACTTGCCTCCTTCATTGTTAAAACCATCAATGATATCTCCCAACTGCATGACAAAATCTGGCCGCATCGCTGAGACATCGCTGTTCCAGTAGTCTATGGCTTTAGTCAGAAGTGCCACGGCATTGCGGTAGTATCTTGTGTGTGTCTTTGTGGAGTTCAGGCGGTTGTCTATGTCAGCATACTGAATGTCTGAAATCACACCAAATGAAAACAGACAAGCAGATGCCGTGTCCTCCATTTTTTGGTTTTCTATAAATGGAACAAACACAAAAACCGTGATAAGTAATGGAATCTGAAGTGGATGACAACTTGAACAAGGTGTGAGGAATTTGGGATAGACAAGCAAAGAGAAGAAAAATAAATCTTTCTAAAAGAGACTTTCTCTTCAAAATCTTGTGCAAAATTAACGTGAATTTTAATGAGAACCAGAGTTGGGCTGCTGCTACATAAGAAAGCTGTGCCCATTTTTTTTTCATGAATGATCTGGGGTTAGGCCTAGTCTTTGACAGTTTGGCTGATATTATTTATTAACGTAATGAAATTAGAACAATGCATATATATACTCACAGGCGCTAGGCGGCAGGTCTTGCACTTGCAGTACAGTGCAGTTGCAGTGCAGTTGCAGTTGCACACAGGCGGCCGGCTGGCGGAAAGCACTCACTCCATGCACTGCTGTGCTAGCTAGCCTCAGCTAGTTCCGTGGTCTAGTGATGATGCTTTCCACGACCCATAGCTTCATATTATGAAGCCCAAAGTTATACAATACACTAAATCATAGACCCGTAAACAATGCGTTGTTGTATACCGTGTTTACAGGTCAAACTAAATCAGAATTATTGGTGGATTTCGGTCGCCGACACGCATGACATAAAACTGGCCGGCGAACCGAACAATCGCCTGCTATAAAAGACGAACAGCCTGGTCTCTCTTATTAATTCCTCTCTAAATTATTTACATGTCGATATTTTTCAGATAAAATCTCAATAAAATTAAGTTCAATTAATCCCCTAAAACGTTTTTTGACTCTAACTGTGCCATATGTTAAAACTAATATAGGCAATACAAAGCCGTACAAGTAATCAAAAGTTATTATTTAAACAATATTATTATGTCTTTATGGCGTTCCATACTTCCGAACTGGTTTTTTTCTCTTGTAAACAAAAATATCGAGTGCAGTGCAGTGCCAGTGGTCAATAAGACATGATGAACACATGATGAACACATGTTGTACGTACCGGTCGCGCCCCGCTAGCGTTAATACCTGCATACGAGTTCATGTGATGAACATGTGCGACACGAGTTAAAAGTCTTATCATTTTGTTTCCTCCGTCCTTTCTTTTGTAACATTTCCATTAAATAAAAGTTAAGTTTCTGAGGGAAACGTGAAGTGAGGAGGCACAAACTGTTATAGACAATAAAACAAAAGGGAAAAGAAAACACCCCAGCTGGCCCTGCATTACAAAACCTATTAAAAGTATTATTTCGCCAACCCTCGGCATCAGTTTTATTGCTCTGTTATATCATGGAGGAATAAGAAACAATATATCGATAAATGAAAATTATGAAATAATATTTTTGAACCGGTCTGGCCATCACATCATGCATGTGGGTTTAAAGCTCCATGCGTGTACTTTAATTGAAGTAGTGAGCCACTTACTGACTTAGTGCTCAATTCCGGCTTTGTTTGCAGTGCACAATCTCTTTTTCCTCTTTTTCCTCGCCGTCCGTAATTCCCCCCCCCCTCCCCGTTTCGTCCCTCCCCCTTATGACCCCGCCCTACTTTTATCCCCTTATCCTCCCCTTGACCTATTTCACACGTGAGATGTTTATGTGTTTGCCTTGCCTGCATGCCTGCGTATCTCAGCCTGTGTTCTATGCCCTGAAGGGTGGGAGTGACATGACATGTTATCCTCTCCTAGTAGGCAGCTGTCATCCTTTTTCCTGTCCTCGTGGTTTACTTGTTGTTTGTTGTTGTTCTTTTATCTGTTTTTGTAATATGTATTTTGTAGTTGTTTTATTTTGAGTATTTTTATCTGATGGTATTATACTTTGTATTTTTTTGCTTGAATAAAGTACTATTATTAGAATGAAAATGCTAGCTGCAATTGCTCCAATCACTGCACCGTTTTCCACCGGCCGTTCCGTCACCGCAGCGCTTCATAACGACTTCAAGATGTGAAATCGAAGAAAAGTTGTTGGCAATAGCGCTGGTATATTAGTAAAGCTATCCATAGTGATTTAAAATTAAATGTAAATAAAAAAAAAACGCGACGTCGGTAAGTTTCAAGTAACTTCACGATGAAGGGTTTCCCAAAGAGTAAATGTGTAATTTGTACAATCGATTTTGGAGTAAAGACATAAAATTGTCGTGATGGCTGCATGCTATTGAATCATTATATTATCACAGTGTATTATGTCAGGGTCACCCACACTTCGCAAATTGAGAGTGATATGATTTCTAATTGGTCAATGCGTTTGTGCATTGTTGCATGTATGGATTCATTAGGCCCGCCCACTCACGTGGGTAACAAAACGTGCCGTTGACCCGGTCATTATACGAATGTACGCATGTCAGACCATCACGGCTGTACTGTGATTGGTCAAAAACATCATGTGGCCGGGCTTAGTGGATGATTGCTCTAAATATTGGGATCAATTATATTACACACGTCACGCACCGTAGGACTCGTTCTAATGCATCTGACGTCATATGTCTTTGTTCCTGCGATATTACCATAGCTCTATAGATTACACATGAACAGACACATATACTGCAATTTAATTTATCATTGAATATTAAACAAAAGCGGCCTCTGTGAGGGTACACGGTCAAGGGTTCAAGACTACTCCTTCCTTCATGATAATACTCAATCCATAAACAGTGTAGTCACAAGTTCTATCTACCCATTTCAAATTTCTGCATGCAATAAAGGTAATTAATTGAATGAAAACAGAATGATCGCATTCAAAATTCGGGACTTTGCCATGTTTCATCAATAAGTAATTTATTGCAGCAGTAATCCAATGAATACTCGGCTTTGTTTAGCTGTTGTAAAATTGGATAAAACAAATCACATGATGAACAAAATATGATTACGGTCATTCACCATCGGAACCCCCTTTAACTGGAATAGGTTTTGCACAATTCCAATGTAAACACTGCATTCTTAAGACCAACATTTAAATTTAACTTAGTCACAAGTCATTGTAGTAGTTTATTATAAATTCCCAAACAAACCATTTCGTTTTGAAATCATTTGTCACTGAACAAAACCTTATCTTTTTGCATGATTTGAATTAAGTTCCATGGAAAACCTATCCAACTGCGTTGAAACTCATTTATTATTTCTAAGCCCACTATGTTTCATCACATGCATTTCAAATTCAAGTTCATTCTATTTTTTTTCAAGGCTGCTCATTCATAAGATCATGAATGATCCTATGATCTAGAATTTGAAAGGCAAATATAATATATGTGCATTATATTCACTAGGAATCTAAATAAATTATACATACATATATACATGTACACGCCCTTTGTCTGATACAGTGTTACAATAAAAATGTTTTTTTTGGTCCTGTCATGGCAAATTTTCATACCATTGCAATTTTTCATATAACACTTTTTTATTTACCATGTAGTCAAACATTTGATAGTGTTTCATGCTCAGTTGAGAAAGGCTTGCTTATTGCTGTTTGGAAAAATTGTTGATTTGCTAATGGTTTCAACTACTACAAAAAACTATGTGATCTGCAAAACAATGAATACTACTATTGGTAGAAATATATGGTCTGTTATGCAAATTATATTTATACATCACTTTTTAACTTTCCAATAATACAATGACAATTTGAAATGACTTCACAGCTAGACTGATTTACTCATTAAAACTTGTATTCGTGAATTTACATTGGAATGTCTCTTGTTAGACTAATATTGTGCAAAAAAAGTAAGAGAGAAGCAAATTTTCTAATAGATTTTGTTCTATGCTGAACTAAGTTGTCCACTAGTGTGTGCTTGATGATGTCATTCCATGACTCTCCCACAAAGCGGGCGACATGCCCATAAAGTGGGTAACACGCCCATGAAGCCGGCAACAGGGAGCAAAGCTTCCTCCCCTGTGAAGCCTGCAAGGTGCAGCCTCGTTGATCATAAAGAGTAAGAAAGGTTAGCAGACCTCTTCAGTGTCGAGCTGTGCCATGGCCGTCAAGCCATTCTGTACCACTCACGCCCTAGCGAGGGTGCCATTACTAGAGATGAATTCCTCTAACACATGCAGGACACTCTGTGTATCCTGAGATGTGATTGTGTTCTCATCTTTCCAGATGTGGCGTAAGAGAACACCACCATTCCCACAATCCCGTAGGAAGGCAAAGGCTCTGTGTAAGGACAAAAACGTAAGAAAGGAGAGCACTGATTAATAATAATAAATCGGGGTGAAATCTCGTTTATTTTCAAGTGTTGCGGTGTCTGTTTGTCCATTTTGTCTTTTGTCTGTGGGTTTTCTTTTCTGTACAAAGCAGCTTTAGTTCACAAGAAAGCAGGCCAAGATGTCCCACTGTTACTGAAGTACAAAACATGTGACATTGGAAGGTTTCACGCCAAACTATCACAGTAGGTGGGAAAAAACCCTCAACAGATTAGCTCTTTCTCACCTATAGAGGGCGTAGTGGTCAGATTCTGCTTGTCTGACAAGACGTTTGAGGGTATTCAAGTCTTGAATCGTGCGCAGCTTACAGTCTTCAATAATCTGCCTCAGATTGGCTGGGTTCTCCCTGTTGCTTGTCAGCAATAGCCGTGTCCACTCTTCACAAAATGGACTGCTCTCTGAAAAAAACAACATCATTATTACAGACCAGGGGTGTGATTGGACAAAAATGAAAAATCCACGAACTTCGGTTGACATGTAATATACATGTACATGTAATATACATGTACATGTACATGTACATGTATTATTGTACATGTACTTGTATAGATGTACATGTATACATATGCATGCACGTATGTCCATATATAGGCCCTAGGGCATGTACATTTTATGTACTGTAATTTCTGTAATGTTAGCAAATTTTGTCGCTTCAGTAAAGAAAACAAATGGGGGAAAAATTAAGAAAATATCGTCTGGTCATTTAATAATATAATCCATATGTGATTGATTCATAAAGGCTTTTTCTGTGTGTACTGTGATGTTATTACTTTTGCATGTTGCAGAGAGAAACGATTCACACAAAACAATATGAACGGTGCTGAAAAAAGTTTAATCTTACTTTAATTTAAACTCCAGTCCCAGGCTTCAAAAACATTTTTGAAATTTGGTGTTGGTGGTGGCTATTTTTCAAAACACTACTGCAGCTCAAACTGATTTCCATCCACTGTGACACTTTATTACCAGTTCTTCCAGCCATACTCTTGAATTCCTTGACAAAATCGCGGCAATATTGACACCAATGTGTTTGCAAATTGCTAGCACACGATCGTAACTGCACAGTACATGCACAATACACACACACATATCCACACGCAATATACAAACACGGGGTGCTGCAAACCCATTGAAAATTATTTTTAGTCTGGTCCTCAAGTACTCCACTGCGCATACTGCATTAATGTCTACTAGGTTCTTGACCGCACTGCATTAGACTTGTCACCAGTCCATCCATTATCGTAAATTAGAGCCTATATTTCGCCAGAAGTTTTTGGGCAATATTATTACGGTAACAGAAAAACATTAAAAATCCGGAATCCGCAAAAAAATTCCGCAGGCGTTAGATTAAAAATCCGGAAATCCGGAAAAATCCGGAAAAATCACACCCCTGACAGACAGCTCTAGTGAGGGTGGGCAATCCTGCTAACATTCTAGGTCAAGATGTACGATTCAACTTTGAAGACTGTCATAGTTGAGAAATGCAACAG